CATTATAGTATATTATCGATTAGAAATATGACATAATTAGAATATATGGTGTTATTCCGTCGGAAACTCGGGGGGGCCCAGGGACGAAATCGGATCCTACCAGTTCCAGCGGAACCCTTTGTTTTGAGCAACAATTCTGTGTCAATTGTTATTGCGCTTGTTGCATTGGTATTGGTGTCAGTGTTGACCGCCCAGTATGCTGAATCGTGGCAATGCCAATTCTTATGTCGACAGTGTCGCCGGCACGCTCTCTAAAATGGGCTCTATCGTGGGGAGGACCGTGGAGAGCCCAATACCCCTTAATTGAAGAACACACCCTTAAAGTATATAAGGATCCTTAATATGGTTTAAGGTATATTCCTTATTTAAGGTGTATAAGGGGCCCTTTGGGGAGTGCCAGCATCGAAGCAGTGATCTAAGGATGTCGACCACCAGCGTGGCTCGCAACTCCGTGGTGTGCAACGCGGCCCTCACGGCTTGTGAGAAGGCCCCGTCCCTGTGCATGTCCCATGGGGGGGTTTGAGATAATAAGAAATAGAAATAGAAATAGTAATAGTAATAGCAATAGTAACAGGAATAGTAATAGTAATAGTAATAAGAATACTAAAATAAGAACCATACTAATCATAAGAATCATAATAATGATAATCATAATAATAAGGGACCCCCCTAAGATAAACCCCCCAAGTTGTAGGATCCCCATAATATAACTGGGGACCCCCCAACAAGGTGCCCTTAGTAATTCGTACACTCCCAGGTCGCTCTCTTCGTACCACGATTAGGGATGTTTGCGGCGCCCGAAGCCTAAACCCTAAACCCTCAACCCTAAACCCTAAGCCCTAAGACTTTGTCCTACACAGACCAGCGGACCTTGCCTAAACCCTAAGACTATGAAAAGCGTTCAAGTTTTGCTTACCCTAAACCCTACATCCTAAACCCTAAACCCTAAGACCATAACCCTAAACCCTAAGACCATGAAAGGCGTTCAAAGTTTTGCTTAGCTCCTGGGACAGGCTGGGGAGCGGAAGGCGGCTTTCCGACTGCTGCGCGCTCTTCCAAGGCACCGGAGCCGAGTCGTGACATGCATTGGTGCGAGGGCGCCAAAAAACTTGCGTAGGGTTTAGGGTTTAGGGTTTAGGGTTTAGGGTTTAGGGTTTAGGGTTTGGGGTTTGGGGTTTGGGGTTTGGGGTTTGGGGTTTAGGGCTACGAAATCTGAACGCTTTTATCATTCGGTTCCTTTTGCCTTAGATTCCTTTGACTCCACAGCACCCACGCAACAGACAAGCGTGATGACCCAGGCCCCCACTTAGCATCGGCAAACAGCCTCAACAGTAGGCCCAACATCACACGACGCTAGAAACTGGGACGCTGGAAAAAGTGTACATCGATGACAAGCTCTTGCCAGGCCATAGGGGGAAACATCATCAGAACCCGCCCACTAAAGCGAACTGCAGGCATATAGTGGATTACAAGCTCACAGTTGGAAATACACCAGGTTCTCCATTCGGGGCCCCATGCCATATGATCCCATGATTCTCTCTTTTTAATGCCGACGAGCACTGGATAGCTTCACGCCGCTTGGTGTCCTTCCTTGTGCGACGGGTGTTCTTGGGGGAATGGCATCAACATATATGTCTCTTGTGATGGGACTTTACGCCGGGTGTTGTGACTTCGCTCGCAAGTGTCATCGGGGAGGTGTGGCTTCACGCACAAATTCGCAAAGATGTGACTTAACCTCGCCCGGATAGCTTCACATTGCTTAGTGTCCTTCCTTGTGCAGGCACGCAGTCATTGCAGACGAAATCAGTTACAACGCTGCGATCAGCGCCTGTGCAAAGACGGATCGTTGGGACATCGCGCATCTCTGTTGAAATCGGCTAGAGCATGTCATCCAGCTCTAGGCAGAAGGTACCCCCCCCCCCCCCCGTTTTGCGTCCTACATCTCCAAAACACCCCCCAGGACCCCACCCTCAAACTCCTCCACGGCTTCAGGCTCCAAGTTCTCCACGAGATGATTCAGGTAAGCGTGCGGCCCAGCGAAGTGAGCCTCACTGCGGCGCTGACGGCCTGTGAGATCAGCGGCGAGTGGCAGCAAGCCCTTCGGTTGATGGACTTCCTGCTCCTTGATCTCTTTTGAATGCTGTGGAGTTTACGGCATCAAGCTCGTACATTGCTGGCCGGTGTTTCGCTTTTCGGTCTTGCCAAGGTTGAAGCTGACGCCGAAGCCATCTCTCGTCTGCACCCTGCCGGCCGTTTAACATAACTGGTACAGTCACAGTGATGCCTAATGCTTCCTGCCCGATAGCTCCCAATCCACGTCGGATCCCGATCTTTCAGAGACATGGTCAGCACAGGAATGAGGCTCTCAGGTTCTAATCAAACCTCTCAGGTTTCAACGCTTTGCTCGGCAGCCTCAGCAAGGCCTTGCAGTGGGAGCAAAGTCTGAAGCTGCTGGGGGACGTGGCGGGGGACGGCTTCACCTATCAGGCTGCGCTTGCTGCGTGCAGAGACACGGCAGCTTCAGCAACTCTTTTGCGTGCTTGTGTTCTGTTGCGGGTAAGAAGCAGAAGCCTTGGCGTCTACTTTCTAGATGTTGGTCCAAGGTTTGGGGAGCAAATGGCAGCTCGCTCTGAACCTGCTGCACAACATGCCGCACAAACCTGTTGCCGGGGAACTTCTGAAGAGTGCCGCGGAGACTTGGCACACTCGGCAGGGCGTTTTTCCAAAGGTCATATCACGAGGGGAAGTGGATCTACTGTACCGTAGTCACTCCCGCTGTTCGGTCTCGGAAGCTTGATGTCATTGTTCCGCTGGCCGCTGGCTGGTTGCGAAGAAGGGCTCGGTTCTGTACCGCTCTACTACCCTCAACCAAAAACCGAGAAGCGGGTGAAAAACCATCCGCCTCCCACGGCCAGGAGTTTGCAGCAGCGGCCTGCGAAGTGTCGATGCAGTGGCGCAGGGATCCCACGACTTCTGTGGCCAGAGAGAGGGACGCCTGGGCCTGGCCTTTCGCGGCCCAATTCCGCAAGTTGCAGAGAAGAGACGGACATCCTCCTTGCTGATGGTTTCGGAGGCAAGTGAGTATGCAACCACCCACCACCTGTTTGTCACACACTCGGAGTCAGCCTCAGTGAGTGAACGGGTGCGCAGGCGGTGTGTGTGTGGGGACGTTTGCGTCTGCCAGCATCTGAGTTTGGGTCTGAGTATGAGTCTGAGTCTGACGTGCGTCTGAGCGCATGTGCATGCGTGCGGGCGGCGGGGGCGGCGCGTGCAGAGAGAGAGAGAGAGAGTGTGTGTGTGTGTGTGTGTGTGCGCGTGTGTCGCACCGACGGACTCTTGGGACTTGCGTGCCCCTCGGGGCGGCTCTCCCTTCGGGCGGGGCCTTGCGTATGGAGAGAGAGAGAGAGTGTGTGTGTGTTGCGTATGGAGAGAGAGAGAGAGTGTGTGTGTGTGTGTTTGAGTGCGTGTGTGTGTGTGTGTGTGTGTGTGTGTGTGTGTGTGTGTGTGTGTGTGTGTGTGTGTGTGTGTGTGTGTGTGTGTGTGTGTGTGTGTGTGTGTGTGTGTGTGTGTGTGTGTGTGTGTGTGTGTGTGGTTGTGTGTGTGTGTGTGTGTGTGTGTGTGTTTGTGTGTGTGTGTGTGTGTGTGTGTGTGTGTGTGTGTGTGTGTGTGTGTGTGTGTGTGTGTGTGTGTGTGTGTGTGTGTGTGTGTGTGTGTGTGTGTGTGTGTGTGTGTGTGTGTGCATATATATATATATATATATGTGCTCGCATGCCCGCACGGGTGCGTGCGTGCCGACATCTTGCCTATCAGGTCCTTAGGTGAGACTTTCCGGTTTTTTGAGACTTCTTGCTAAAGAAAGTGCTTCTGTTTTTAACGCATCTAGGCACGTGTAAAACCACGCACGGTGTGGGAGCACAAGAGAAGGCAGGCTTCCACAGCGATGAGGAACAATATAATTTAATTTAACGAAAAAACCTATCAATCTGAGTGCGTGTTCACGATGCAGGTACCGCAAACGGCCATGGCCGCCATGGCCTTCTGAACCCTATGGTTGTGGTGCAGGTCAGATCTACCAGATGGCGAATGGAGTCAATTCGGTCGACGATTTGCTGCATGGCTGGACTGCGGTTGGGCAACAATTCCCCTGTGTACTCTGGGTCACGCGGCTTGCAGAGGCACCAATCAATGTAAGTTGTTAGAGTTCCTGAAAGAGATCAGCTACGGCGCAGAGATTGTCCAGTTAGGACCAAAACCAGGCACCAGACCCGACGTCCGATCATAGGTCAACCGCCGGCCACTCGCACGACAAACCAGTGTGCTCTCCATATGTCATCACTGCGCACGGAGGCAAGGCAAGCTTCTCCCGAGTGCTTCGACAGTGCAAGCAGACGACGGACGTTTGTGGGATGTCGGTTGGCCTTGAATCCGGCTCCCACACTGGTGTCTCGGACCTACGTTCTGCGCTGCATCTGGACTTTCCAGTTCTCCAGAGTCCGATTTCATGCCTTTGGTGTCTGATGCGCCCCAAAGGGGCGCGTCGCCAGCCCACGATCTGGGGGTCGGGGGTGGGGGCCTTGGGCTGCTACGGTGGATAACAGTGGTAAGTGCCGGTAGCATTGGAAGCTCTGGTAGACATCGGCTGTGTTACCATCAGCCGGCCTTGAGTCAGAGAAAATCGGCCTGCCGATGTTGCTTCTTTCAAGGGTCGTCGTGAAGCGGTTTAGCCAGGCAGTCGTATCAAGCCATGCTGGTGCTAGAATTCAGGAGCGGTGTCAGTGAAACTGGATGCTTGAGACCGGTTTCAATTCGCTTGGGCTCTCTGGGCTGTCTGAAGCCAGCAGTTGGTCTGTGCACCTGAATCGCCGACTGAAGGCAGTTGGGCTAAGTTTCCTTTGTGGAGCGAGTGGTGCAACGACAGACTTGGGACGATGTTCGGATGATGAGACCGACTAAAAAAAACAAGAGTCGGGAACTGTGTGCAGTTGACGCCCCCTGGCCAGGCCACGGATCGTCGAAGGCAGGCGTATCCTCAAAGAGCGGGGCATGGGCTGGCCACAATTTTAGGGTTTTAGGGTTTTAGGGTTTTAGGGTTTTAGGGTTTTAGGGGTTTAGGGTTTTAGGGCTTTAGGGTTTTAGGGTTTTAGGGTTTTAGGGTTTTAGGGTTTTAGGGTTTTAGGGTTTTAGGGTTTTCCACAATGCCCAGTGTTGTTGCAGGTGGCAAAGGGGAGAATCGAGGATGACACCATTCTGGTAGATGGCAAGCGGCTGTCTCAGACCTTGAACATGTTTGTAGGGATCTCCGTGACCGTTCGTCCATCATGGCTTGTTCTCGTCTCCAGCCACCAGCAATCTACGGAGCTCTGTGCACAAGCCCTTCCTTATTGTGTAATTATCTGCCATCAGGACCATAGCTCATAACCCTCGGGCAAGGAAGTACTGAGTTTTTTTTTCGAGCGCGCGGAAAGCACTGCTTTGTCCCCCCCGTCGAAGAATGGAACTCACTGGAGCTTCGTAATCTCGATTCGACTCAGAGGAGCTGCTTGAAACCGGAGCGCGGTGTAGCAGGAACGGGAGGCTTCAGAGACAAGCAAATGCAATGCCGATAATCATGGCTGCCGGCTTGGTGACCGAGGGCGAGGCGGCAGTGAACCCATCGTGAACAAGGAGAATCCACTCTTCTTCCCAAAGCCCTACACCCTTTGCCGTGGCTAGTCGGGTGGCAAAAAAAACCCCAAACCCTAAAACCCTAAACCCCTATACTTGTCCCAGAAGGGGTCTGCTAGGCGGGTGGCAAAAATCCCTACACTTCTCTTTTGGTGTGGTGGCATCTTGTGCCGGCTCGCCCTTGAAGTGGCCAAAAGTGCCGAGCAGTGTAGAAGGACAAATCCTTTAGGGGTTTTGACAGGGAGAACATGAGTCCAAATGACTCCAAGCTTCATAGCGGCTTTCCAGCTGAACCTTGTGCGTGGGCCGAGCCGGGCGGACATAGACATCTTGTGGAGCAGCCGTCGGTTGTTAAAAAAACAAATGAACAGAAAAAACAAATGAACAGCACGCATTTTGTGGAAACGGATACGCTTTGCCATATCGGCCTAGGCATGTCGGGGTTTGTGATGGCTAGGGCAGTCGCAGAGCCCAAAGGTCGCTTTTTGGCCGGTCTGGTGCTCGAGTTGCTAATGGGAAGCGCTCAGGCACGGCCGCTTCGATGGACGACAGATACACTGGGCAGCAGAGGTTGGCGACGCAGTTATCACGGTGAGGTGTTTCACATTGTTTTCATGCATTTTTCGTGCGAGGCCTTACATGCCCCCCGAACTCCGGCCATGCAAAGCCTTTGCTCAAGCATTTTAGAGGTGCAGAGAGGGGTCTGAGAGACCCAGACCACAAGGCCCCCACATCTTCCATCCAACTTATAGGATCATGGCAGAGGGCCAGGCTGCTGAGGCTGAGACTTCGGGCATTCGCGCAGCCTGCAGATGCATGTGCTTTGCTGCTGGCATCATCATCTCTCTGGGCGCCTACGGGGTTTTGCAGGAGCGCGTCATGTCCGTGCCGTACGGAGACTTGGAGTTGGGGAACCAAGAGTTTTTCAAAGTGTCCGTCTTCCTGGTGCTGTGCAATCGCTTGGCAGCCATTCTGTTCTCGCTTCTTATGGTGGCTGTGAAGAAGGAAAGCTACAAGGCAACAGTGCCCATTTGGAAGTACGTGGCCGTGTCCATGTCGAACGTTATGGCGACCTGGTGCCAGTACGAGGCCTTGAAGTACGTTTCCTTTCCCGTGCAGATGCTGGGGAAGAGTTTCAAGATGATGCCCGTGATGCTGTGGGGGATCGCCATCTCCGGACAGAAGTACAAGGTCCAGGATTGGCTAATTGCCGCAGGCGTGACGGGAGGGGTGACATCGTTCCTCCTCACGGGAGACATCTCATCCAAGAATGGGGATAAGGATAGCAGCGTCTATGGCCTGGTCCTCTTGATGGGCTTCCTGGCGTGCGACGGCTTCACGTCAACCTTCCAGGAGAAGCTCTTCAAGGAGCACAAGACCTCCAAGTACAACCAGATGCTCTACGTCAACAGCAGCTCCGCGGTGGTCTCCGGGCTGACCTTGGTGTCCACCGGCGGGGCCGCCGAGGCCTTCAGCTTCATCAAGAGGCATCCGGCCATCATCGCGGACGCCTCCATGCTCTCGAGCGCTGCCGCCACCGGTCTTTTGAATGAGGGAGTTGGGGTCCTATATTTTGTTACCCTTTAAGGGATTCTGTTGGGTACCTTGTGTCCCCACTTATTGACGAACAGTAAGGTCACCGGTCAGTTCTTCATCTACTCGCTGGTGAAGGAGTTTGGTGCGCTGGTGCTGGCGGCGACGATGAATCTGCGACAGGTCCTGTCCATCCTGACCTCCTACTTGCTCTATGCTCACCCCATCAGCTTCGCCCAGATCCTGTCCTTGTTGCTGGTGTTCGGGTCCCTCTTCTACAAGAGCTTATACAGCTACCGGAAGAAGAAGGCGGCTGCTCTTGAGGCGAGCGCAGGGGAAGCTGCAGCCAAGCCTCCGAAGGCTAGCAACGAGGAGACGCAGGGCTTGAAGACCAGCCAGGGATATGAGCCCGTGGCGGATGAGGATATTCGTAACACTGATAACGTGAAGGTTGTGATAGGTGTGAGCATGGAGCAGCAGGATGGCAAACCGGCTGAGAGCGCCTAAGGGCTTGGAGCATAGGGGCCTGCTTGCAAGCTCAAGGAGTTGTGCCTCTGCATCTTTCAGTTAATGTCTTGAGTGAAGTTTTGGACTGGGTGATCACACCCAATGCCAAGAAATCCTGCACCACTGGTTTCACCGGCCAGTGTACCCAAGCAGATGTCTTACCATGGTTTGAGCCATCATCTTGTTGAAGGCGTTTTAGAGTTTTCCGGGACATGTTAGGTTGCGGATTCGTGGTCGCCTGGGAGGGTGCACATATCCCTCCACCCCCCCGGGCGACCGCCTTGCTTGCATCTTGGGTTTTTCCTGGCTTATCACACGCATCCTCTGCAGCTACCAGATCCCTGGGCCCCTGGCATGTCGGCCAAATTGCCCAGCCGCTACTGTCGCAGTGTGTGATGCCTCCCATTTCTGTACAAACCTGGGGGGCGTGCCGGGGCGCGACAAGAAGCAACTACCCGCATTAAAAATCAGAGGACTTCAGTTTCAAACGGATGTTCCAACCAAGTGCTCCGCACACGGTCGCCAGTGTGAGAGTCGCAGCACGTCGAAACTCTGAAAAAGAACCGTAAACTGTAAACCCTAGACCCTAAACCCTAAACCCTAAACCCTAAACCCTAAACCCTAAACCCTGAACAGGCAGCATGGACTCGCTTGGATGAGCCCGGCGAGGCTGGCTTTTTGATTTGCGGCTCTGCATTCTGTGGGTCGGGTTGACGCCTAGAAATAAACAGATTAACGAAAGAAATATGTACATATTCATATATATATATATATATATATATGTATGGAAAAAAAATATATATATATATATATGCATACATGTAGATATCTATCTAGTCCAGCTTTTGAGGAAGCTGCCGTCGGGTCCGTTCATAATGTTCGAAATGAATCACAGCGGCAGCATAGACTCAGCCGGTGACAGGGCGACGCGTTCCACAAGTCTGCTGCGCTTGCCTCAGACTATCTTTGCAAGTGAGCAAGAGGTCTTCGTTGCGGCCCTAAACCCTAAACCCTAAACCCTAAACCCTAAACCCTAAACCCTAAACCCAAAAAAAACCCTAAACCCCAAAAAAGCCCCTAAACCCCAAAAAAGCCCTACGTTCCGAGGCCATGGTGCGGCTTATCATGCTCGGGGCTCGCCTGGGAAGGGTTCAGGGAGGCATGGGAGGCAGACTGCCGTTCCTCTGAGCGAGTGCTATCCCCCTTATTACTTGTTATTGTTGTTATTTTTTATTGTTATTATTATTGCTATTCTTATTAGGATTATGATGATTAGCATTATTGCTATTGTTATCGCAGTCCTTAATAGGGAGTCTAATTTTAATAGGGCGGGTACTCTAATCCCTCTTAAGGACTCTTGAGCTGGGGGGGGGGACACACGGGTGCCTTGCGCTGGGATCCTAAGTGCAAGTAGGCACAGGTATGGGCATGCTGGCTGAGGCCGCAGCTCGCGGCGGCACTGCGCCAGGAGCCTCAGTGAAGGGCCACTCCAGCTCCACCTCAAGTCTTTCTTATAAGGGCAATATAATATAGGGACTATTTTTGAATTTTCTAAGATGCAAATAGTAGACGAGTTGAAAGGCGTGGGTAGTTCCACAAACATCCCTAAAGTCCTTCAGATGGAGTTCAGACTTTCTTGTCGTCTTGAAGGAGGTCTTGTGTTATTTATTGTATAGTAGGCGCCGAAGCCATTTGCATTGCATCAAAGTGTCAAGCCTCTTGAAATCATCGAAATTGAAAATCGAGGCCATTATCCCAATAACGGATATTGAAGGCTTCAGGCCACCTCTTGGCCATCAGCAAATAGAAATCCAGGCCCGACCTCCATGTCTGGGAGTCTTAGTCGCAGGCATCTAAGGTCCTGAAAAAACTCGGGGGGTTTACATATTCGGGGTACCTGATGGGGGCCTTCTTCTAAGAGAATCCTATTCTTTGGGGCTCGAAATTGGGGGTCCCATATTTTTCGCAAACCCCCACTTCAACAACCTGTTGCATGAGAGCCCACCCTGAAACGGTTTAGGGTTTAGGGTTTAGGTTTTAGGGTTTAGGGTTTAGGGTTTAGGCTTTAGGCTTTAGGGTTTAGGGTTTAGGGATGCCTTAAAACACATGGTGCCCCCTTCATATAATCTAGCTCTCTGGGTCTTTGATCATTCTTGCAGCTTCAAAGGGCTGTCAGAGGGGCAACTCGACATTTGAATCGGTTCTGGACCCCCCACTCCCTGCACCACACCTCCTTACATGGTATCACTCCTTCAGGGTTGTACTGCCAAAAAGGCCTGGGTTTCCGGAAAGCGGGGTGAAATACACAGATAGCAATATAGTGCATGTATTTCTAAAGTTTCATGTTAAAAATCCAACATGCCGACAGGCTGGGAGCTGGAGACCTCCTCGCCCACGGAGGCACTTCAAGAGGGGCGTTCTCCATGCCGTAGAACAGTGCTGGCAGCATAGTTCATGTATCCGTCAAGACATGGTAATAAGATCAGCAGGACACATGCTCATCATCTTCATCACATCATAAGACAGGCAGAGAGAGAGAGAGAGAGAGAGAGAGAGAGAGAGAGAGAGCGAGAGAGAGAGAGAGAGAGGGAGAGCAAGTGATCAGTGGCCCGCCTTCCCATAAGGAGTCAGGCAAGCATGAGGCTCCCGCAAATTACACAGTCTCACCATGTCGATGTCAGACCGGGGACAACACCACACGAGCAGAATGCAAAGACCGCAAATAGTTCCCTCAAGCAGACGGTCTGAGCACGACAAACCCGTCCTCGGGTGATATAAGGTAGACGCCTACGACAAAGAACCCACCAAGCCCCAAACATGGCAGGCTGTTTTCTATACTTACCCTCAACTGATCAGTGGACCAGGAATCGGTGGGAGAGCGTCTTGTCTAGGCCAGCCATACAACCCCAAGGACAGTGTCACTTCCCATCCTGAACAGCCCACGGCAAGAACTGTATGGAGACACACCCCCTTATGTCATTGCATTACTAGGGTCCTGAGGTTCGGTGGGAAGCATGCAGTTCTGACAGATCGTGGAGGGGTGAAGGGAGAACCAGACCTTACAGAGGGTGAAAGGCTGGGGCCACAATTATAACTATAGGGACACGAGACATCGGAGAATGGATCGGTAGGATCAGTCCTCTGTTTGCCCATCTTGAAACCCAAAGGCTGGGGATCCACATAACATTGGGTGTGGTCAAAGAACAAGGTGGAAGAGGGAGAGGGGAGGGGAGGGAGAAACTTTCCCGTCTTGTGCGAACCCGCTCACCACCATTCACACCGTTTCACACAGACACGGACTTCGGTATTGCGTGCCCCTGTGGGGCGGCTCCCATCCGGGAGTCACACGCACTGCAAGCAAGCAAGCAAAAGAGAGAGTGCGGGGGGTAGGGCAACTTCCCTACTCCTCAAGCCCCGTAGAGGAAGAAGCAGACGAAGGAGAAGAGAGGGAGGGAGAGAGATGGGATCCCAAATCAAGACTGAACTTGCCGATGCGCGTCCAAAAGGATGCGGTTGTTGCAGGCTGCCGTCGGTCTGAGACCTGAAGAGGGTTTATAGAGGATTATAAAAGGACTTAGAGGAATTTCTAGGTGTTTATAGGAGTTAATAGGAGCTTACAGGGTTTATAGGAGATTCCCTGCCGAGATGGTAGGCTGACCATGTCGACCTGGAAGCCCAGTCTGCGGTTGCCTCAGGGTACCTCAGGGTTCCAGGATGTTTCGGTTTAGGGTTTAGGGTTTAGGGTTTAGGGTTTAGGGCTTAGGGCTTAGGGCTTAGGGCTTAGGGCTTAGGGCTTAGGGTTTAGGGTTTAGGGTTTAGGGCGTGGCTAGTGAAGCATGCCTTTCTGAGCATAGGTAGTTCCAAGAATGAGGTCCACAGATGCCCCCCCCCCCCCACCCTTCCAACCAAAAAAGGATTTGTAAACACGGTTTAGGGTTTAGCCAAGCCGGGCGGGAGCATAGCCAAGCTCGTTGCAAAAGGGTTTAGGGTTTAGGGGGCCCCTACCCCTTATCTCCACTTCTGAGGAATCGTCAGCAGCAAGGCGCGCCAGCCTTCGGAAGCTATCCTTCGCAGGTTTTTGCGGTGTTTTCCTTGCAACAAAGGTTTCAAGGTTTGCCAAACCTGGAGAGCATGGGTTCTTGTGGCTTTTTTTCGGTTTCCCAAACCGGAGCATGGGTTCTTGTGGCTTTTGTTTTGTCCAGGCGCGTGGTGTTTGCAGCTTTTGTGTTCCTTCTGACGCTCTGTTCTGCTCGCCAAGCCGCCAGCCAAAGAGCTTTGCAAGCGCGGCAAGCCTACTTGCTCGGTACCCAGTAGCAAGGTACTTAGTTAGCCAGAAGCCCTCCCCTGCCCCCCAAAACAACAAAAAGAGCAAAGAAGCGGAGTCACATGCCAGGGCTGCTGGTTTTCCCAGCCCGAGAGCGGGAGAGCCATGGGTTTCTTCATCCAGATTTCCAATGATTCAGGTCGGCCCATATTCCAGGCTGCTAAGAACTACCCAGACATTTCCTTTGCGTCGAGCGCCTTGTTCCACGCACTTGTGACTGCGAGCTTGGAGCAAGGATTCGTGCCAGGCATCATTCGCGCCGATGACGCCACGATTGCCCTGGCAGTTCATGGGGATCAGGGTGCCCGTCTTGGCTTGGCCATGGTCACCTCGGAGCTCGCTTCGGGTAGGACCGCCGACCTGGAGATGAGGCTGCGCTGGCGACTGGATGCTTTGTACCAGGGAGCTCAGCTGATTCTAGGTTATGATTTGCAGAAGGCCGCTGGGGGCCAAGTCCAGGCCGACACTGTCCGGCGGATGTTGACCGAGCGCCTGGCTCCTGTGGTCTTGCAACTGATGTCCGAGGAGGAGGATTCCCAGTCCTCTGCTGCAAGGGATCCCTTTGGCTGGAGCCTTCCGAGTCCACGCTGTGGGAGCTTGGAGGCCCCGCGGCCGCTGCCACCTCTGGGCCTCCGGCTGTGCGGTGCGGCTGTGGAGTGGCTTCTTCTAGGCTGCAGCAACATTGCAGAATATGCCCTGAATGAGATGCTGTCCTGCCTAGACGTCAAGCTTGCAGCCGGCGGAGAGACACCGGAAGTGTCGCCAGGAGGGACAGCCGTGACACACCTTGGGGCGCTGATTTGGCGTGGACGGGTGGTGGCTGCTACGCAAGCATGGCGCCAAGCCGCTCAAATAGACCGCGGACTCTTGGTGGCCATTGCAAGCTGTGCAGGGCCCCCGGCGTTCGGGGAACCTAACCGTACCCTGGCATTGGAAGACATGAGTGATCTGTGGTTGAGGCCGAAGCAGCCTGGACCAAACGAGCTTCCTGCCAGTGATGATCTGTGCAACTATAGAATGCTGAATGTCCGACTGTATCCTACGTCTGACAGTCTCAAGCAAGATTTGAGGAGAATGCGCAGTGCGCGGGATTTGGATGGACTGTCTCTTGTCCTGTCCGTGCTCACGCTGAATTCGTCCTCGTTCTTTGCCCAAGCAGATGTGCTGAAACGTCTCCGCGAGAATGCGGCCCGCCTGTCAAGGGAGGGGAGTCTTCAGCAGTTGTGGCACAAGCTCCTGCGCAAGAGCGAGAAGAGCGATCGGTCGAGTGCAGGGAACCTCTTGGAGCTTGACCGACTCTCGGCTGCCATTTTGCTGGATGAGCGATCGGGGGATTGTGTGGCCTTGCCGTCTCCTTGGGATGTGACTGCAGATGACGTAGACATCAACACCTCTTTCCGACAGCTGGTGTACTGGATGCACGCGCAGCCACCACTGGATGCCACTCGCCCACAGCAGTTCATCTGCTGCGAAGGATATACCGTTGCTGGTGTCCGTCGCGAAGACAACATCGTCTGCTGGGGATCTGCGCCGACAAGCGCCAAGCAGATACATGGAAGTCAAGACTTCGTTTTGCAAGCAATTCAGAGGCTTCTGCGTCGCTTACCTCGTGCACCTGACCTCTGGAGTTCAATCGGAGCCCTGGAAACTCCAGAAAGCTCACTGTCTTGAACTCTTCGCAAAAAAAAACATGGGGAAAAAGCGCAGGCCCTCCCATCGTCAGGAAGTGTGGCACAGATCGCAGAGGCAGGCACGAGGAGACATGGAGTGCTGCTTAGCTACTACCCCTACAGCTGCTAGGCTGAGCATATTGTGCACACCACGTCACGCCCAACACACGCACAACACACGCACACACCCACGCACCTTCTGGCTGTACATGTTTTTGTGAATGAGCCGACGTTTGCAAGTGTCAGCAACTTGAGTGTACGTAGCGGGTCTTCTTCCATGGATCATGGATGCTGCTGTCCGGAATGCCAACTAGAAGTCGCATTCTGTCTTACTTATTTTGGACTGCTACGGCCCTAGTCTTGTGAGATTCAAGAGCACCTGTCTATGCGCAGGCCACTCTTCGACTTCTTGTTGGGCTTTGCTTCCGCCACGCGCCAACCAGAAGTGGCCGCTTGTCGAAGGATGCACTGTGGCAGACAAGCAACCCTCAACCTTGTTAACATTCTTGTAAGCAATATAAACATTCTTCATATTCTTATCATTGATATTACCATTGCTAATACTATTTCCTATTCTTAATCGTATTATTATTAAAATATTTTGAACCACGGTTCTCACGCCCAGGTTTCTGAGCTCTATTGGGCCTTGGTCTGCCTTTGCCACCAACAAACCGGTCCGGGCCTTACTGCTCGGTTGCCGCTCTTGCCCAACAACCTTCCAGCTGGGTTATTAATTAAAAGAAACATAGAGTGTTTTTCATCGTGCTAAAAGCCTCCGATTTCTTTCGAGGGTAGCAATTGTCTATGGTTTGAAGCGGTGCTGCGCGTGTGCACCCCAGGTGGCGACGCCTTCAAGACGGCCCGCAAAGACCTTAGTCAACAACCCTGGATCTTAAAGCTTTTTATGCTTTTGCTATTGCAGGCCGGTTAGGGCGCTTGCCAAGTTTTCCAGGAGGGCGATGTGAAACAGTCTGGCCATGTTCATTCATGAGCGATTGCATTCAACAGTCAGCGGATCTCTCCCGATCGATATGTATATATACATATACATATATGCACATGTACATATATATATATATGTGTGTGTGTGTGTGTGTGTCTATGTGATAGTTATTTATATATACATCTCTCTCTCTCTCTCTCTGTATGTGTGGGTGGGTGTCCGTGTCCGTGTCAGATGTGTCCCCCCCCCCCCCCCCGCTGTGTGTGTGTGTGTGTGTCTCTGTGTGTGTGTGTGTCTCTGTGTGTGTGTGTGTGTGTGTGTTTGTTTTTGTGCTTGTTTTTGTGTTTGTGTTCGTGTTTGTGTTCGTGTTTGTGTTTGTGTTGTGCGTGCACTTCCGTGCATGTTTGAAACTCTCGAAACCCGCAAGCACTAACTGGTCAGGCTTGTCAGCATCTATCAACCTCGGTCCCTAATCTCCTGGCTTGTCAGAGCTGCCTCGCGGCATTTTAGCACCGAACGACTCAAGCGCCCCAGCGAATCTGTGAACTCTGATTCGGGGCAGTTGCAGTTCTATCCCGGATTTGGACTTTCGGACAGTTGCCTTGCCTGCCTCATGCGAGGGTGAGCGTCGACATGCTAAGTCCGAGACCCTCAAGAGGCATGTGCCAGGGTTCTTTTTCGCGCGTCGGCCCAGGCCTAGCTCTGTTGGAGGCACTGCAAGCAGGTGGGGTCTGCTGATACCTTTGGATGCAGGTAGCTATAAGCTGAGGTTCAGAAGCAGCCCTGTAGCAACGGAGAGTATAAGGCCTGAGACACAGCTGTCGACCGCGCGGTTCAGGATCTGCTGATCCTGATGAAGACCAGTTCCTCCAGGATTGCAGGCGTCTTCTTGTGCACCTCCGCACCGCAGACAGGCAGTGTAACCTCAACGATGGCACTTGACCTGCGAGCACGTTTGGCTGACGAGGAACAAGGGCACGCAGCAACATGTATTGTAGCTCATCGGCCTGTGGGGCATTGGGGCATGACAGTAGTCAGCTCAGTCCCCGGCCCCTGTGCATCAACTCGAGAAAGCGCCGCACTTGCGCGAGCAACAGTTGTACACACCTGCCATTCGAGCATGCTGCGGCACGCTTCTTGCTGCAGCCGCTGCGCCGGATTGCCGTGGACGCTTGTGCCTTCCAGGCCGTAATCAACGACTAGATTGGCAGGACGTCACACGTTGATTGGTGTTGTCTGTTTTGTGCAGTTCGGGGTCCAGTCCCCGATCTACAGGCATCCTTCGGGTTGGAAGACGTCCAAATGCTTCAGCAGCAACAGCGTGTGCGGCACGTAAGTTGATCAAACGATGAAGGGGCTGAGAGGCTGCAGTAATAAAACATGAGTATCGTGTGTCTATCTGTCGCGCTGCATATTTCGTATTGCAATGATATGGTGTAAGTCGTCTTGGATCTCACGTGCCAGTAAGTCCTTGGAGGGCACCTCAACACCGGCGTGTTCATGCTCCTCACCCGCGAGCTGCGTGGTGGCAGTAGGCGAAGCTCCGGACACAGCGTGTGTGCAGTTTGGAAAGAGAGCAGGGGAATGCAGGCGATCGTGCATCAAACTGCAATCCGAGTTAAGGCCGTGGGGTCGGTGACGTGCTCGGCCCTGACCGCCGCCGCAGCCTTTTCTGCACGAGCAGCAGCGAAAACGCGGGCCTTGCCCAAATCCACGAAGAAGCCTCGGCCTCAGGTTTGCGGCCACAGGCCTTCACAAAACGCCGCCCTCAAAAGTGCGTTAGTGTCGTTCTGGCTGTTGACCGTTGACCGGCTGCCCGATTCACTCGCACAGAGGGAGTTGAGAATTTTTTTGTGATACTTGTGGTTTGCATGACGGCCCCTTCGGAAACAGGGTAGGAAGCGCGATATTGATCTATACATTGGAATGTTCCCTCTTATGCAGACGGTCCTTAATCAGGATTATAGTACCCCACCCCCCCTAATTTCAGCCCTATGAAGGACTGTTAGAATTAGGGGGCACATCATCCCAATCTATAGAGGCTTCCGAGGCGGGTGGAGGCCCACGGCTTTCAGATGAGATGCTCTCAGGCTGGGCACACACGATGGCTCTTTCCAGGCTGATGCTGCTTTGGCAGCAACTAGTGATGGGAACACGCGACGAGAGCAAACCCCATGTAGAGAGAGAGAGAGAGAGTGAGTGATGGTCGTGTCAGTGTACCCCAACATGATCAACCTTGATTCAACGCTGATGCGCCGTTCTCTTCCTGGAGGCTAGCACCACTTTCCGAGTCTGCATTTCTAAACCTGTGAGCGGGGGTGGTTTCAATTTTGCTACGGTTCTGCGCGTCAAGGTTCTCAGAGAAAGCTTTTTGAGCGCTTTTTGAAAACTCCAAAGTTGCGTTTCGAAAGCTCGAACAGTCGAACATGTTGAACTCAAGCGAACATGCAAAAGCTCGACGTTCACAACTTAAGGGACGGTGGGTTCCATAAGGGGGTATGTTCCCGAATGCCCCCCACTACTCCCCAAAACCTCCCTAAGCTTCCCCAAGATCCCCGCTCCCTTAAGAACCCTCTGACCCTGTGAGCCCTAAACCCCAGACCATAAACCTACTAGAACCCCTAAACCCTAAACCCTAAACCCTAAACCCCCTATAATTCTGGATCAGGGCATGTCGCAGCTAAAGCTGGCTCCGGCCAGCTCGTCAGTTGTCACCAGACCTGGAAGGGTTCCCAAGATAGTTAGAATAGGGTTTGGGTTTTGGGTTTAGGGTTTAGGGTTTGGGGTTTTTGGTTTTTTTGTTTGCAAGTCCAACTTCAAAAGGGTTCAGGGTCCCAAACTGCGACAACCTCTCCCATAATATCCCTGTCTCGGGAAAAAGCTCCCCTAAACCCTAAACCCTAAACCCTAAACCCTAAACCCTCGAATCTTTTTGTGCTAAGGAGGCCTTGGCCTGTTGGATGCTTCGTCAGCTCCCGGACTACGCGGGCAGCGAGGTGACGCGGAGCAGAGAGCGGAGGCCTCCGACAGAGCTCTTATTACGATTACAACTGCTATGACGATTATTATTATCTTCATCTTCTTCTTAGTATTGTTACAATTTTGATTGTTTATATGTTTGTTACTATTTTGTTATTACGATTATGACTTGACTAGTATGACTATTCGTATTTTGTTCTAAGAATACCCTCTCCATGAAGGAGTGTACTTCTCGTGTTATGAATGTGGCGCGAACTCGCGCCCAAGTTGTAGTGTCAAAGGTAACCCTCTGAAACCTTAAGGCCTGAAGCCGTAAAAAAAATAAACATCTCAAATCGAGTGTTAAACCCTAAACCCTAAACTCGAAACCCCCGAAACCCAACCCTCAAGCCAGAGTTGGCTGCCGGAGTTCAGCTTTCGCCCTTGAGGATCTTGGCCAAGATGGACATCGTTGTGGATGCCGGGCGCGCAGTCTTTCTGATACAAGGAGTTGTGGTCGCTTCAGAAATAATAATCGTAGTAATAGTAGTAATACTAGTAATAATAGTAATATAGTAATATTCGTAAAAATCGTAACAATAGTACTTGTTGGTCCTGTAGCTCTCACGCGGGTCACCCCCACGCGCATGCGCATGCTTGAGGTCGGCGACGTGTACGACCCTGCCCAGCTTCGCTTCGACCATCACCAGCGGGGCTTCTTCGAAACCGCCGATGGCATCCCTGGTGCAGCAAAGGGACCAGAGGAGGCAGGAAATCGCGCTCTGCGTGGACGCGACAGAATCAACAGCAGGTCTCCTGACCTTGCATGTCCTGAAGCATGACAAGTGAGGGGATGTCAGATCTCCAGTGCACTACGCAGTTGCGAACAAGGCCACGGGGCGGTGGAAGACCCGACTTTCGTCCAGTGGTGCCTTGGCTGTGTAGGCTTTGGGTGGTTGTCAAAACTATGGTCCCTTTTTGGATCCCGACTATAATACGGCACCTAGTATTTAGGGTACTCCAAAAGGGATCATAATTTTCACAACCACCCATTTGAGGGTTAGGGTGTAGGATCTGCATCTGTCCAGTCTGTTTTTTTGTTCAGACGAGGCCTGGTGTACAAACACTTCGGGCGGGAAATCATCCAACAACTCGCTGACACAGATCCCAAGAGCACGGAGCTTATTTGGGCCGAGGCGCGATGCTGCAGTCTCAGGAAGCTGCTGGAAGGATGTCCGCGTGTGCCACTGCAGGTGTATGACCGGTTCATTGAGTGCATTGATGCCATTGACAATGGCGCAGCTCGGCATCATTATTGATGTACAGCCTTTCAGGTATCTTGTTGTGCTCTATATAACATAAATATTAGCAATGATAGTAATCATCAAAATCATAGTAAAAATGGGAAGAAGCATTATAATCATATAGCCTTCTCAACTACTTCGTGAATTTTGGACCGTGAAACTTGTTGCGTGAAGTCGGGAGCAGCTGGAGCCTAAACCCTAAACCCTAAACCCTAAACCCTAAACCCTAAACCCTAAACCCCAAACCCTAAACCCTAAACCCGAGGTCGAGATGTGCGCAGTAGGCACTCCTCGCTTCAAGGAGTCATCCCGCTTGGCCGGTTCTTTGTAGGGACTGGGGGAATGAGGGCCCTTTTTTTGTCCCCCTTTTAAGGGATTATGTAGGGGAACCTCATTTCCCCTTTAAGGGATTATATAGGGGAACCTCATTTCCCCTTTAAGGGATGATATAGGGTACCTCATTCCCCCATTCCCTGCTAAGAACCAGGGGTTGTCTCGGATGTGCCTGTTGCATTCACCGGCCATCGACCTTTCGGAGACGCCTAGGCAAGCACAGCGACGGGATGTGTACGAGACAAGCTGTTGGGGCAAACCTGGGACACGTGTGAGAAGTTCGCAGAATTGAGGCCAACACGACACATTGCTGGTAGACAGCAATACCCTTTGTGTCATAGTAGTTTACTTCTCTAATTTTTGTATTCGCCTTCGCTCTTACAGGACTGCACGGGCCTCTCGGCACGCGTGGCTCGGCTCAATCCGCGCTGGAACGAGGTGCCTTGCACGTTGTGTCGTCTATCCGACAGCTTGCAATCGCAAGCTAGCCGTTGCATCCCAGAGAGCCCCCAAGACCCCGTAGTTAAGGAATAGACCTTAAACCATATAAGGATCCTTAACAGTGGTTTAAGGTACATTCCTTATTTAAGGGATATACCTCCAATTATATATAACAAGGATCCTTAACAATGGTTTAAGGTACATTCCTTTATTTAAGGGATATACCTCCAATTTTGTATAAAATGATCCTTATAACAATTTAACAATGTACCTTAAACCTTAAGCCATTCCTTACTTGAGGGGCACAGAGGCCTCTTTAGGGGTTGTCTCTCCAGGCCTGCGATGATGAGATTTTGCAAAGTCGCTTCGAAGCGGCGCCCGGCGCCTACCAAGTTCATTGCAAGTCACGGTTTAGGGTTTAGGGTTTAGGGTTTAGGGTTTAGGGTTTAGGGTTTAGGGTTTAGGGTTTAGGGTTTAGGGTTTAGGGTACGAGTTGCGCTCCATGAGAGCAACAGTCTGCTTCCTTGCGTGCTCCGTTCTGGCGCTCTAGCGCAGGTCAGCGATGTGTGGTGCAGAGTTTCTGGAAGATGCTGGGCGGCACTGCGCCCCACTAATGGTGGGTTTAGGGTTTAGGGTTTAGGGTTTAGGGCTTAGGGTTTAGGGTTTAGGGTTTAGGGTTCACGAATGAACGATCGTTCCGATGCTGCCCTGAGGTCCTCAGCGACGTGCTGGAGTCCTGGCTGCCCGCGCGGGCCTGCGTGGCTGAGGCAATGGCTACCCGTGAGGAGGTCCACAGTTCTGGACAGGCCCGGGGGGGGGGGGGGGTATCTGATATCTGAGGGTAGTTTTTTTAAATTGCCCCTCATATACCCTCTAAACCCAAGGGCTCATACTTCGGATCCCTTTTTAAGGGAGGTAAGGGATCATACTCAGGGCCCAAGAAACTACCCTTCAAGGGGGCAGTTCTCGGTTCATTGTCGCGTTGAGAACCAAAGCCTCTTGGCATGAGCTTCAATGGCGAAGGTACTCAGACTCCACTCCGGGAAGCTGCCGTGGAGGAGCGTGCCTCGTTCGGCTATGTCTGAAACACAGGAAGGTTGCCCTAAAACCCTATGAATCCTATAGACCCGATAAACACCCTATAAGCCCTACAGATATTACTTTAGGGTTTAGGGTTTAGGGTTTAGGGTTAAGGGTGCAGCCGGTGAGATGCCCCCCTCAGAAGCACTGCATGAGCCAAGATCGAGGAGCCACGTCTTCGATCTCGAGCGTGAGCTGCACCTCGAGGGCCACATCAAATTCCTCGTTGGCACCTTAGGGTTTAGGGTTTAGGGTTTAGGGTTTAGGGTCTAGGGTACTACTTGGTGTGTGTGTGTGTGTGTGTGTGAATTATGAAGGACTGCCCAGGGTCCAGTAGCACAAGTCTTCATGCTGGCGGAGGCAGCTGTCTTCTAAGATCTAAGCTTTGCAAAGTGCCGAGGTCTATCCCGAAGAGCCTCAGCTGAAAAGAAGAAGGAAGCCTTAGTGCCACAGTGGAGCTATATTCCTGCTAAACCTTCAAAGGGTGCCAGCATGAGACGTGAGAGACGTTTCAGACCACTACTTCGTAGAAAATGGTTGCCGAGGGGGGGGGGGGGGGTAGGGGTAGGGGGCTGAATGATTGCAAACAGCCACGAGCATTTCCACCCCTCAGAAATGATTGCAAAGGGCCACATGGGGTGCGTTCCATTGGAATGCAGTGGATGCAACATGTTTGCCCTCCTGTTGAGGGCTCTCCATGGACGTGATTGCAACGGGGGAGGGGCAAACTTCTAAGAATGGCATGACTGTGTCCCAAGCTAGGTAGAAAGGGCACTGATGCCTTTCCAAACCCTAAACCCTGAACCCTAAACCCTGGGCCTACCACAACCTGTGTAGCCAACTGGAGCAAGCTGGCTACTGCCGAGCATGAGCCTGCAATAGGTTCCCGAACTGCACTCAACTTTCTTATGTTGGGTCTAGTTTGAAGGCTTTCCGATCAGTAGGGGCCAGTCACACATGCGTCGGTCTAGGGTGCACCGGAGGCCCGCGTCGGATAGGGTTTAGGGTATAGGGTATAGGGTATAGGGTTTAGGGTTTAGGGTTTAGGGTTTAGGGGTTAGGGTTTAGGGTTTAGGGTTTAGGGTTTGGGCTGCAGGGTGTAGGGTTTAGGGTATAGGGTTCAGGGTTGTATCCACTACTGGTATTTTGCTTAGTGGGTGTTTCTCACGGTCCGTTAGGGAAACAGGCCCTCGGTAGACCTGGCTTTGTAGTGTACAAAGAACAGGGTGAGTCCGGAATACGTGGAGTCGCTAGATCAAGGACGTAGGGTTCTCCACCGAATGCGAGACAGGGGTGGCCATCGACAAACTCTAGAGCTGTCTGTGACCATGGTGTATTGATTGATAGCTTCTTGTTGAGCAAGCTGTGGCGCCCGCCTGAATCCGAACTCCCAATACTCCCAGTATGTCCTACCATGAGAAGCCAGCACAGCGCTGGAAGGGCTTTCTCCGAAGATGTCGTACAGTGGACTCCGCACAGAAAACTCCTTTTTTTGTCAAAAATTGACCATAAATCTCAACTTTTTCCCTCCGCATTGCTGTGGCTAGTCGGGTGGCAAAAGAAATTCCTTAACCCCTCGACCCTTTTTTACCCTAAACCCTAAAGCCTAAATTACCCCAATCCGTAAACCCTAAATTACCCTAAACCCTACTTTCGGTTGCGAAACCAGGAGGACCTCTTCCGAGTCCGCGCAGTTCCCATCGAAGGTCGCTTCTTCACGAATCGCCTCTCCTTGCCAGAGCCGCTTGGATGAAGAGGGTGTAGGGTTTTAGGGTTTAGGGTTTTAGGGTCCCAGCTGCAAAAAAGGGTTTTAGGGTTCAGGGGTTAGGGGTTTAGGGTGTAGGGCTTAGGGTTTAGGGGTGTAGGGCCTCCCTGCCGAGTTCTGGACAGCAGTTGCTGGGTGGGGGTTCAGGATCCTGAACGTCACAATCAGGGCCTAATGGTTGAAATGATCGAGCTCTGAGATACTCCCAAAATATTCATCGAGGAGTGCCTTGTCCGTCCCTTGTGGCTCAGGGCTTGGCGAGGCCTGCGAGACGACGCCTTGGTGCAAGCTAGTGGAATCGAAGGAGCTCGGCCTTGTGAGTCTTTTGGCTAGATGGGTTTATGTAGGCTTCAACGCCTGCTGCAGAAAAGGGCTGGGTCTTGAAGCCACACCTAAACCCGAAACCCTAAACCCTAAACCTTAAACCCGGTTGCAAAACGGTGTGGGGTTTGGGGGCAGCAGCTAGCATGGACCTTGCAGGATCCTGCTTTGCCCATGTCAATGGCTGCTTGGCTCCCTTCAGCTTACATTGTAACTGTCATCATAGAATAGTACAGTTTGATCATACTATATTAGTCTAGTTATGTGTTAGTATTTTTATGTACCAACTTAACAGCAGAATAATATATATATATATATATATGTAGAAAAATAATGCAACAATCTAACAACATTACGGTACAGTAAAAATGTCAGGAGAAAATATACATATACAAAACTATAATACAAATAACATCATAATGTAATCATGTACAATTATAAATCTAGCTGTACCATGCGACCAAAGATTGTTATATTTCAGCAGCATAATGTCGTAGTAGAGCAATGTAGCAGTAGACTCATGGAGCAGCGCAATCATATAAGAATACTCGAATATACTCAAATCCATAATGTTAATGAACAATATCACAATATTGATGATCTAGACATTTTAGTAGTGCAATTATGCGCTTGCAAGTTGGAATTTTGTGATTTAGTGATTGATGTTTGAAGGCTTACATCGTCACACTTCGATATCCAAGGCTTCATTGGAGGGAATTACACCCTGGAGGGCGCCATTGCTATGGCAGATGCCAGCTTGCGATCGAGCGTGGCGTAAAAAAGTGCCGAAGCAAAGCTGTGGACGGTAGAGAGAGGGAGACTTTTCGCGACATGTCGCAACTCGACTGCGCAATAGGCGACGGGAAGAAGTGCCGACACTTTGAAACCTTCAAGGGACTTCCACGAGAGCTCTAGCAGCGACACGCCAAACGGTGCATCAGCAGTTCTGGGTCAAGTCCTCTCCCCGTTTGTCGCTTCTGTGAGCTGATCTCGAAGATCCGGCCATGGCTTTGTGCCTTCGGAAGTAATAGTACTATTTGGCAACAATAGCACAACTCGGAAAATTTGGCCAATACGCTCATAGACTAATCTACAGTATCACAGAACCGACGAGTGGAACATTCTGACATACGACATGACACACGCGCCATCATGGCCTCCCCCCCCCCACACCATAACTTTGTCATAGTTGGGAAAACATGTTGCATGCTTAAGGGTGCTTAAACCAATAAGGAATATAAACCTAAAATGTTAATACTATCCCAACCATGAATCAGATAAGAACCTCCAGGTACGTGGGAGCCTCGAAGGTTGGCTTTGCTGGTGGCGGCGGCTTTGGTGGCACGGCCATGCGCTACGCCTTGTCGATGATCCACGGCTACTGCTTCGGCTACTGCGTTTCTTTGCCATCTAGTTGATTACCATTTTACATTTTTAAGGGCACTTAAACGCAATAAGGAATAGACATTTGAATTTTCATATTTTTCCAACCATGAACTAGGTCTATGTCTTGGCCGTGAAGCCGACATTCATCCAGACTCGCTTGGCCGTGCTGGATACCTTCCCGAGCCTCAAGGAGGAGTGAGGTGGCCACAGAGCTCGCCAGGAAGGATCTGATGATTCCGCATAGATTTCAAGTGAGCCTTAAGGAATGGCGACCCGCGAACTGTAGACTTTGGGCGGCTCCGCCGCTCGTCTTCATCGATGCAGCGTCTATGCAGAGCGCACACAGCTGGACCAAAAAGGTACCAGCGTCGAGCTTCCAAGGGTATGCAGCGAGCCGTGATCGTGGATTCATCTCAGTTTGAGTTTACTGAGATCTGCACGATTATCCTTCGCCTGCTGCACGCCGTGCACCCACCACAAAGAAAGCGCAGGCTCTGAAGCAGAGAGACTTGTCCATGCAGGCGGCGCGTTTGTGGCCAACGTGAAGTTTGGCGTCAACATGTCGCAGCAGCCTTAGCGCCGCAAGCACGAAGATGAACTTGGTCTGGGCTGTCTGCTCTCTAACCAAGAGCCAGGACGTAGCCTTGATCAAAAATGGGCTACATGCTGTGTGCTTTCAGGCACTCATCCAGTACCACAATAAGCAGTCCAGTTCCGGCGGGGGCAATTTCCACCACCGGAGCCGCGTGCGATGCAATTGCTTGGAGCATGCTATCCAGTACTTGTTTGTCTGCGATGGTCCAGGTAGTTCTGGGTTGTTGCACTTTCCAATGTTGCACTTTCCAAGCAGTGGCAGGACCACGAAACTGCGGGAGGCTTCTTCGCCCCACGCTTGAGACATATATATATATATATATATATATATATGTATTTATACTATTACATGTTGATATGATTGCCATATTATAACATTACATTATTGCATTTCCTTTACTGCTATTTTGCTATATTCTTATGTTGTGAACTTGTTGTAGCCGAAACTAGGGCTTCAAGCACGTCCGATCGTCAATGCCTCGAGTCGTGTCATGGTTGCGCACGTTACGCTGCGATAATGGTGTGCAGCAACGCGTACACTACAAGCGAGCGGACCCTTCTGCCAGGTGTTGCGGAGGTGGCATGTCTTGTTTTGCACCCAGTGGGTTCAGGAAGCCAGTGCATGTCTGCACCCTTTAGTACGCTCCCCCGAAAAAACAGGAATAGAGTACCATGTGCAGACTCAGGCGTCAGGGAGACCTGGACATGGAGTCCTCTGACCTGGCTGCAGAGGATGCAGTCATCCTGGCTTCCCCAAGGTGCTTTAAGGGCCATAATTTAAGGTTTAGGGTTTAGGGTTTAGAGTCCGTCTGCTTGGCCGCGCCTCTGTCACGCTTTCATGGCGCAATCTCTGCTCACACTCATGATCCAGCAGGCCGCACCACCGGGCCACGTTCTTGGAACCTAGTCCCAAAGAGCCCAATACCCCTTAAATGAGGAATATACCTTAAACCATATTGAGGATCCCTATATAGTTTGAGGTTTGTTGCTTAATTAAGGGGTATTGGGCTCTCTGGGGTTACTGCCTATCTTCTATGTGATGCTTGCCAACACGGGTGATCCCTTTTGGCACATGTTCCGGTCTCAGCTGTGCTTGCTTGACCCTCCAAGACCACGCCCGTGGGCATTGCCGCAGCCTTATTGTGCGCCACCATGTTTCTCACACGGCTTTTTGCTGGTTGTGAGGCAGAGCCAGGTCGTACCGTTACAGTGCAAATGCGTAGCTCGAGTCTTTTCTTGAGTTTGGGCAGCAGAAGACCAGATGCTGTCTTCGCGTGTTTTCAGTCTCTGCAGCATCCAATACCAGTAGGTTGGTCCAGCAAGTGACTGGCTCCCTAAATCGGTGTTCTGACTTGCAAGACGAAAAACATCAACAGCAGTCAAGAAAAGCACAAGAGTGAGCATGAACACTGGCACAGCCCGGCAGACCTTTGTTTTCGTACAGGACCTAGTGGAGCCTGACACGGACATGGGCCACCTCTTCCTGTCGCCTGAGCCCAAGCCCCTATGGGGTTTACGAAGAAAGGATCCCCAATATAGTAGGATTGCCTTAAAATAAGAACTCCAATAAGGTACCCCTAATGTCGGAAACCCCATATTCAGGATTTGATTACGAAGATGTACGAAGATGTGCCAGTGATGGCGACTGCCCGAGTGCAAAAGATCCCCGAGGCTTCCAGTTGATCCCGGCGTCCGCTTTGAGGGAACCGTCGTGGAAAAGAGTCCTGCGCCCAGCTATGCTACTAATCATTGCAGTGCAACTACTCATTCTTGGCAATCGCAAGGTGCTGTGCTGGCATCCAAGCAGGCGCCGTTAATGCTGGTGTGCAGGCAGGGGGAAAGCTACATGATATATTTTCATGTTGTTCTAGCATTGCTTAGTTACTCGAGCTTCTAGGAGCTTGAGGGATTTTTTGTTTACAACCTGGTTGTCTTGGGCCAAACAGGACTTATTAGTGACTTGGGGGGGACCTTTGGCTGGATATCTCACTGCACCCGTATGCCCACAAGAGTGTAAACCCTAAACCCCAACACAGTCGACTCCGGGAGGTTGGAACATGGCTTATTAAGGATGATTTGAGATGGGATTCCCTGCTGTATTCCTTGTGGGGAATGGGGATATGGAGGTTCCAACTTTTTGGGGGTTTACAGTTTAGAACCTACGAACCGAAGCCTTGCCTGCCTTGACCCTAAACCCTAAACCCTAAACCCTAAACCCTAAACCCTAAACCGCAGCACATTCTCCCCAAAGTGCGAATCCTTCTCTTAGACTATCAAGTCTAAACCGTTTCGTGCTGTTGCATGACTAAATTTTTCAGGTGGCTCGTGATAAAAAAAGAAATACATGTACTATCTAATCGATCTATCTGTCTATCTATCTATGTACATATGTGTATATATATATGCTATGTTGTGTGGGGTCGTCATACGACAATTTCTTTTGCTACTATGCCTGTGCATGTTTCTATCGCTATATCAACTTGTTCGTGCACTACTACTTGTTGTTTGTGCATTTGTTGAAAATTACTACTCCATTTTGGTGTTGACATTGAGTTTGTATTCTTGTAACCAATATTGTGTTATTCTTTTATTTCAGTTGTTGCAGCTTACATCATATCATATTGGCAAGGCTAGACTCAACCAACCAGGACGCGGCACAACCAACTGCATGGCTCTCTTACTCACAGCCCTCCGAATTCACCATCGCGCTCTCATCAGGCCCCCGTTGTGGTTTCATGATCGTCCATCTTGAGAATTCGGTTTGTGTAGGATGGAGCAGGAGATGTGCTTCTGAAGTGCTTGTCTCCCTGCCTGCGCTTGACGTCTTTGTGCTGAGGCAGCATGGGCTAACGACTCAGCCTCATTAATGACAAATTCATGGTCCTCCTTTCGTTTCACTTGATGGTTCTTTCTTTTCCGTGCTCCGGCTTGTTGCGGGAGGCAGCACGACGTCATGGGGAAGAAGTCCTGGAAAAATACCTGCTGAAGGCGTGTGGAGCACGACCGGCTGCGGCCCAGTACCTGCTGCGATTCGGTGCCCAGGTCGGCGATGATCTTCGCCAGGATCAACTCGTGATCCAGTTGATGGTCGGTTCCCGAGTGTCATGAAGGGTTTCGGAGCCCTAAACCCTAAACCCTAAACCCTACACCCTACACCCTAAACCCTAAACCCCAAACCGTGAAGTACATGCAGCATGATAGGTGTTCGAAGCGTATGTTCTGGTGTCCCAAGCGTGGGGAAAGTAACATACCATGTAGAAGTGGCAACGGTAAGGCTGCGGGTGCCAGAATGACATTGACAATGCAAACACCTTGTTTCGAGCAGTTGCTGTGGGCCAGGCTCGCACGGAGGGAGAGAGAGAGAGAGGCTTCCCCTCTCCGAAATCCTCTCAAGCGTGGAGGAGAAGAAGAAGAAGAGGCTTCCCCTATGCGCAGCAGAAGAAGAGAGACCGCAGCACTCTTCTGACTCATACTCTCGGGTGCGGGACATACCTGGCGGAAGGAGCCCCTGCTCTAACCCTTCGCACCTGCTTGAAAGAAGAAAGACGGAGGGAGAGAAACAAGAGCCTTCGACACTGCTAGTTAGTGGCAGCCAATCAGAATACAGATGTTATCCCGCCTGATATTTCATCACTTGTTTGAGCAGGAGGGGGGTTGGCATACAACAAGGTGCCACGTGAGGGGCAAGGGGGAACCTCTGTCCTTCAAGCCCTGCAGAAGAAGAGTCATGGGAAAGTTTATGTAGAAGCCAGCCCTAAACCCTAAACCTTGTGCGAGAGTGAGCGACTAAACCCTAAACCCTAAACCAGTCTCCATAGAGAGAAGCAGCAACGGCAGCAAAAGCTTGGAACTTTCACTGAGACGCTGTGCAACTGCATCTGGCGAAACCATCTCGCAGCACAGGCCTGCACTCAGCTTTTTAGGGGGCGGGGTAGGAGGACTGTTTAGGGTTAGGGTTTAGGGTTTCGGGTTTCGGGTTTAGGGTTTAGGGTTTAGGGTTTGGGGTCTGAATACCAGATGGGCAGCTTGCTGGCAGCCAACAAGTCCGGTTGCAAAAAAGGGTTTAGGTTACAGGTTTAAGGTTGAGGGTTTAGGGTTTAGGGTTAGGACTGTAGTAGGGGTTAAGTTTAACTTTGCAATGCCTGGCAAGATCAAGGTAGCTCCAATGATTATCGAAGGTTTCTGCCAGAGTCAGGTTTGGGATGTCCCGGCTTGCTCTACTTGGAGGTTTTCTAAGTAGGGCTATAAGCACCCGAAGTGGGGTTGCAAGTAAACTTAGCATACCTATAACCCTACTTATAACTACCCATCAACCTCCAAGTACAACTACGACATCCCAAGGTTTGGCGACCATTCTGAAGCTTGCGTGGGCTCGCTTTGGAAAATCTTCACAACAGTTGGCGCCACAGGACGCCCGTCTGGTGCAGCTGCCACTGCACGGCGCTCAGACATGAAAGGGTCAAGTGTTGTGCTGCCCTTCGTGCAAAGCAGGGATGCCACAGGGATGTGCGTTGTGAGCAGTGGAGGCGACCGGGTGAACGTAGACGGGAACACCCAGTCGCTGTTGCCTTCGAAAGACTGCAAGGTTTCGAGTCTTGGCAGTGACGCCGCAGTGGCTCGCCTCAGCTTCTTCCGCACTACACTGCGCTACGAGCAAGATGCCAATTTTTAGGACATTTTGTGTGGCCTGTGCGTAAAATGACGGTCCCGGCCCTTTCTTCACTCACACTCCTCGCGTTCTGTGTGCTGAGCGCTGGCTCAGAGCCCTGGGAAGCCATTAGCACCCTCTGCACTCAAAGTGAGCCATACTGAGAAGACAGACGTCTTGACTGTGCGGCGCAGCGTGGCCTGGGCAGATGTCAGCACCCGCGCAAGCTCCGGCAGAGCTGCATCCGGCCGCGCAAGTCCAGAAATGGAAGCTGAAACTGAGGGGCTGGCTTTGGAATCCGGATACCACGCCCAAAGAGGCCCAGAGAATTTGCAAGGCACTGCTCCAGAGTGGCCATGCCGCTGTTAAGGACTATTCGGACATCTTGGCGGCTGCAGGAACTCAAGGGACCTAAGTAGACCCACCCTAAACCCTAAGCGGCCCTAAACCCTAAACTCCTCAAACCGCCCGAAGCAGTCCGCAAATTGTATCTGAACTTTGGCCGTCGTAATGTCTGACCTTTTCCCGGCAAACGCTTGCGAAACGGGTGGGAAAACAAAACCGAAACCCTACATAGCCCCTAAGGTCCCTTATACCCCACCCTAAACCCAAAACCCCAAACCCCAAACCCCAAACCCCAAACCCTAAACCCTAAACCCTAAACCCCTAAACCCCACACAACCCCTAAGGTCCCTTATAAGGGTCCCTCCTTTAGGCCCCTGAAGGAACCAAAAGCTGTTGGGAAGAGGGGCTGGCGATCTGGAGCCACCTGGTTCGAAGCCCCGCTGGGCCAGATACCAAGGCCTTGAACCTCGGGCATTGATTATGTGGGGTCGTTGTTTAGGGTTTAGGGTTTAGGGTTTAGGGAAAGTCAGAAAACGATGTAGTTAGGCCCAGTTAGGCATCTTTGGCTGATGAGCTTCTGGTCCGCCCAATAAATCCGAGGAACACGGCCTTGCAGGTCATGGGCGATGCTGCTCAGTGGGAGCATGCCCTCGCCCTGCTATCGGCGAACTTCGGCGTGGAGCATGACCTTGAATCCCTGCACCACGGCATCGCAGCTCTGGGTAACTTGCTCGCCCAGCGGTACCCCTTTCCCTTTTTTTTGGGTTCAAGGCTCCCTTATAAGAAGTGACCAACCCCAAAAAAGGGGTACCCTCCTTGTAACTTGGTTACTGGGCTACCAAGGTAAAGGCCAACAAGGAGAAAAGGCCGTGTCTCTTCTAACTCGGGCCCAGTCTGTCGGGTCCATGGGGCCCGGCGTCGCAGACGTAGGCGTGCTGTGCTACAATGCGGCCATCAAAGCTCTCAGCTGTAGCGGGAAGCATCTATATTCCTCTTGGGAATTATTTTTTTCATTTTTGTGTATATAAAACCCAAGAGGATATTAGAAACATTGTTTTTATTACGGTTCTAAGGGAAGTATAGGCATCATGAAACGCTGTGGATGCTGCATGACGTTCAAGCTCTACAGCTGCAGCCCGACGAGGAGGCCTACACTGCTGCGCTCCTGTCTTGTGCTGAATTGGGCGAGTGGCAACGGGCACTTGCCTACCTGGACTATATGAACCAAGTTGGGCTGAGCCCCAGCGCCTTGAGCTTCGTACATGCCATGAAGGCCTGCGCGAACTGTGGGCAATGGGATGGGGTGCTGCGCCTGTTCAATGAAATGCAGGAGTCAAAGCTCACAAGGCCCGTCGCAGCCTTTGGCCTTGTTCTTCAGGTTTGCGAAGCCTCGGGCAAGTGGGAAGAAGCCCTGCTGATATTCGAGGAGTTCATTGGTAAAGGTGGCATCTTGGAGGAGGATCTGGCGGAACCAGTGGTGAAAGCTTGCCTTGCCGCACGCCAACAAGCAAGAGTGCGAGGGTTGTTGATGCTCAGCTCTTGATGACTGTGCTGTAGCAGGCTTCTTGTGTTGTTTTCAACTGAATTTGGCTTGATGCTGTTGCGGGCTTCGCGCCAAGGACCGAGTGGGACAAGCTCGGGTTTCTTCCCAGCTATTCATTGAGCAGATATGTGGCCGACCATTCGTGAAGGAAATGCTGTTGTGATACCTGGCCGGGCAGGTCCGGGGAATGAAAGCGACATGCTCTACAAGGAAACCAACCTACGAATCGCCCAGCTGCCACAACATCCATAGCCATAGTTATCGGGTCGAATTCTGTAGCTTGTGAGGTGATGATTGTTGCTGCCATGGGCCGTGGAGGGCCTAGACAAAAAGCTTAAAGTGATCAGCATTTGGCGCGCGGGGCGATGCCCCCTGCGCACACGAAAGTGCAAGGCCACCTCTCATGCGACGAGCGAAGCTCCTGGATTCTGACCGGTTCGAACTGGGGCGAGTCAGACAAAGGGGTAAGCTGGGGGGGTGGGGGCACATAGGGGGACATTCCATGACTTTGCGCTGCAGATTCGAGGCGGCAGGGTCTGTCAGATTGTCGCCCGGGTGGGAGAGTCCCGAAGCTCCCAGGTCTGGCTACGTGAAGTTCGTGCCCGACTCGACTAGCTTGACCGAAGTTCTACATCAGCTGCGGCCCCCAGCCGTGGACAAGGTCTTATGGGGGTTTCCGAAAATAGTGGGGGGGGGGGGGGTACCGTTTTTGGGGGTCCTTGTGAAAAAAAGGGAATCCTACCATGTTCTGGGGCTATTTTAGGGTACCCCTATCTTCGTAAACCCCCTGTGCTGTGGCCTGCACCAATGTGATCATGTGCGAGAGGCTGCTTGCTGAATGCCCGCAGCCGATGAGATCCAATGTCCCTACCGGTGTGTTCATGAGGTTGCCCAAACTCTGTCGCACAAACTGATTCTAATTTATGATTGCTAGTACCGGTCGGTATGAAGGGTGTTTTTTTAATACTAACATTAACTGTAAAAGTAATGTAGTCCACAGCTCTTCGGGACATGCCAACCACGCTATCTTGCGCTGTAGCTTGTCGACGGTCTCTTTTGATCCTTCAAAGATGGGTCCTGCTGTGTATCGTGGGCAAGTCTGGGTAGTTCCTAAACCCTAAACGTTAAAGAAACCCTATAAACCTCAAGGTGGCAAAGCCCAACCCGACACCGCAGCACCCGTGGCATTTCATGGTTCGAATGTGCGGCCGGGGACTTTGAGACCACACCAATGGCAAGAAAGACGCTCGTCTCAGCCATCGGGGCTCTCTGCCTCGGCTTTTGAGTTTTGTTCTCATAGGCGTTTTAGGGTTTAGGCTTTAGGGTTTAGGGTTTAGGGATTGTCGGGTCAAAGAGTCTGGGGGTGCAAAAAGAGGGATTGCGGGGGATGGACGGTGGGTCGCCACACAGGAGACCGGCTTCAGCCGTGGAGACAGAGGACCAGGTGGCCTCAGCCTTGTTTTGTGGACCAGCAGAACCTGTGCTCACTGGTTTAGGGTTTAGGGTTTAGGGTAACCAAGTCTGCACATGTGATGTCTACCTCTTTCATCTCGGCGGGCTAGATCAAACAAGAAACGGGCGGTGAGGACGTGTACGCCAGATTCATCCGTCTATCTTGCCACACACTCTTGAGCTCGCGCTCACGCTCTCCCTCTCCCTCTCTCTCTCTCTTCGCTCTCTTCGCTCTCTGTCTCCGTCTTTGTTTCGGTGTCTGGTTCCATCTCCTGGTGGGCTGTGATAGTGTGAGGTTGTGAGTCAAGACCCTTCCTGTTACACGGAGGGGGCCGAGCTCCGAACCCAAAGAGCCCCTTATGCCCCTTAAGTAAGGAAGACACATGAAGCCATATCAAGGATCCTTATATAAATTTAAGGCCTATTCCTCATTGGGCACCCTAAACCCTAAAGCCTAAACCCTAAACCCTAAACCCTAAACCCTAAACCCTAAACCCTAAACCCTAAACCCTAAACCATGCACCCCGCATTGCCGTGGCTAGTCGGGTGGCAAAAAAAAAACCTAAACCAGAGTGTCCGAGAGGTCAGCTAAGCGGGTGGCAAAAAAAAACCCTAAACCCTAAACCCTAAAGCTGGCTCTCTGGGAAGAGCCCAGGAAGCCCAGAAATTGAGACCCGCAACTACGATTTTTGGCCAGGCTGCCTGCATCCTTCGGCCGCCCGGGCCCCTGCGGAACAGTTTTGTTCCATATGGGCCCTCAGCCCTAAACCCTAAACCCTAAACCCTAAACCCTAAACCCTAAACCCCACTTAAGGCCTCACGATGCCGAGCGCCTCGCGGCCTTGGGCGCCGCGCTGCGCCGAGGGCGCCTCGTGTCCTTTCCCACGGAGACTGTGTCAGGGCCCTGGTTTTTTTTTGGGGGGCTCAGGGTTTAGGGTTTAGGGTTTAGGGTTTAGGGTTTAGGGTTTAGGGTGGCCCCAGCTGATGCTCAGAGCCCGGGTTCAAGAAGGGTTAGGGTTTAGGGTTTAGGGTTTAGGGTTTAGGGGCTTTAGACGGGTTTTTAGGGTTGGGTCCTGGGTTGGGGGTAGTAAGTAGGGTTATAGAGAGAGGGTATGAGACGGTTTTGGGATTGAGGGCTTAAGGGGTTTAGGGCCTAAGGAGTCTGCTCACGGTAGCAAGGGGCTACGGCGGTGAATGGCTGGGCGAAACCCACATGCGGGTTTACGAAAATGAGGGCCCCTAAAATATGAGTCCCTTATACGAAGCACCCCAATAAGGTACCCCTAATGTCGGAAACCTCCAGGTATGGCTTAGGAGCCAACGGCTTGGACCCAGATGCAGTTCTCCAGATCTTTGAGGCGAAGGGGAGGCCCGTCTGCTTCGACCCACTGCTCTTGCAGGCCCTAAGCCCTAAGCCCTAAACCCTAAACCCTAAGTGTTTCCTTCCCCCCCGGGGGATGCCCGGGGCATGGGAAGGCCGCTGACGGATCCCTGCATCCTGCACGTGGCCAAAGCTGCCGATGCGCAAGAGCCTTATGGGTGAGGTGAGTCTTTCGGAGCCTTCCTCATATTGCTTAGGGTTATAGGGTTTAGGGTTCAGGGTTTAGGGTTGAGGGTTCAGGGTTTAGGGTGGGTTTAGATTTTAGGGGGATCTTTTGCTGAATGTTGGTTTCAAGACCAACGCGCTTGGGGACCTTCGCTGAGCTGCCAAGGCTCCCGCTTCTGGACCTGGACAGCCTCCCTGGTGGCAGGGCTCTCTTCGATGTGCTGACGAAGGAAACTGGTTTAGGGTTTAGGGTTTAGGTTTAGGCGGTTTAGGGTTTAGGGTTTAGGGTTTAGGGTTTAGGGTCCATGGAGAGAGAGGGAGAGAGAGAGGATGCCCAGTTGATGCACCTGCCGGGAGTCGAACCCAGGGCACAAGCATGGGAGGCTTGTATGTTGCCGCTACACTACAGGTGCCCCTTTCCGACACTTGGAGGGATTTTTCGGGGCGGATTCATGTGGGGTTGGTTGGGTGGTAGTACATACGGGGGAACTCCAACTGGACTTGGTCTGGGCGCACCGAGTTGGCCTTGGGGCTACTCCACTCAGTGCACCGCGCTTGTATCACAGAGGCGGCCCCCTTCCGAGTGCACAGGAAGGAAGGAAGAGAGCCCAAGAAAGAAGGAAAGACACAGCGAGAGCGATGCGCGGAGGGCGCTTGTGCCCTGTAGAAGAAGAAGACAAAGAAGAAAAGATGCATTGAGCTTTCCACAACTTGCGCAGGAGTTCTGGCCCGGACCTCTCAGTATTGTGGGTCCCGCGCGCCAGCTTCTCAAACATGGCCTCCACATGTCAAAAACCGTACATGCAGCACCGTATCCTTCTTGAGTGGCGTCAAGCTGTTCCTCAGACTCATGTGCACCCTTTCCCTCCAACCTAGGTGCAGTGGTTCCACCCCAGGTCACTGCAAGCACGGGATTTGTGGCAGTCCGCTGCCCGTCCCATCCCCTTGCGAGGCCGACCCACAACCAGTTGCTCCATAATTAATCGCTATACCCCACTATGGTGATGGTGATCCACCAACATCCAGGAACATCCACTACTACAGTACGCACTTCAGTGCCGGATGGCGTGGCATCAAGTTGAGTCTTTATGAAACGGGGTTCCTACACAGTGTATATTTATGTATTTATGTATATGTGTATGTATACATATATATATATATGCATATACATATGTGTGTATATGTATGTATGTATGTATGCATGTATGTACGTATGTACATATGTATGTATAGTTGTTTCATGTTATTTAAATGATGTTTTTTACTTCTTTGTTTATTCAGGGGGTTCCTTTGGTAGCAATCATGCGACGCAGCCCTGGCTTCATGGGACCAGGCAGCTGGTCGAAGCCGCCGGTGCGTGGGCCTTAGTTGGTGTTTGTGACCAAATCTGGGGCAAACCTCTTGCTTTCACTTGTATAGACATATAAGCACACACATACATATATATATATATAGATACAAATAAACAAACAAACTAAAGAGAGAGAGAGAGAGAGAGAGAGAGAGAGATGTGACGCGCAGGGGCAGCGAGGGACATCGAGAGGGGTGATGGTCACTTCATGGGGGTGTTGGTTTTGTTTGATGTTCACAGTCCCCGCGCCGCAGTATCACACGGACCCTGGACGCATTCTGGGCACGCTCCGAGCGCGGGGGGGGGGGGGGGGATCACTCCCCTCAAGCCCCGTAGAAGAAGATATGTGACGCGGGATCGGGCTCACGCAGCCGCGCGGGAAAGAAAGAAAGATATGTGTGGGGGCGAGAAAGAAATAAAGAGAGCACATATAAATATAAGCAAAAATAAATAAATATAAACTATATATATATATATACCTGGCGGCTGCTCCTAAGAAACCGCTGGCAGCGCCTTCAGCGAACCGCTTCGGCCACATCTCGCCGACACTTCCTGATCACGTGCTTCAGGCGCGAAGCCAGTTTAGGGTTTAGGGTTTGGGGTTTAGGGTTTAGGGTTCAGGGTTTAGGGCAAAGCGCCCAATACCCCTTAATTAAGCAACATACCTTAAACTATATAAGGATCCTTAGTATGGTTTATAAGGTATATTCCTTATTTAAGGGGTATTGGGCTCTTTGGGTACCGGAGTCGTGATCTCCTCCCCTCTGTCGCTCAAGTAAAGCTCATGACTGGAGGACTTGCAGCATGTGCCCTTCCTTCAGATAATCGATGGCGGGCCCTGCAATGTTGGCATTGAGCTGCTTAGAATGCAGAACTATTGCTTGCGTCGCTATACATTGCATCTCGGGCACTTCAGTTCACCCTTTGTGCACAAGGTCCACGGTAGTCAAGCTTGACCTGGCTGGCACTCCAAAATCGCTGCAGCTGCTGCGGCAAGGCGGTTTGCCGCGAGAGCGGCCGCACACCTGCAACATGAAGGAAGCCCGACGTGCAGGCGGTTGTGATTGCACCATTGCAGTTGCACATCTGTTTAAGGTTGGAATCCTACCTGACAGAGTGCTTTCAACGTGGAGAGCTCCAGGTGCGAGTCAGCCACACCAATGTAAAAGTGTTTATCCCAGCGTTCCAAACAGGCATGCGCAAGTAGGGGTGCTGAAAGCGTGGCTCGCAAGCTCCGCAGACATCACGAGGGCTCTGCCAAATGTCACCATAGAAGCAGTCGAGTTCTCGCTGCCATGTCAACATAAGATGGCTGTGGCCTGCAATGCCAGGAAAGCATCCCCGTGGTGTCCATAGCCCGGAATCCCAGGTGGGGCTTGTCTTTGCTGGTTTTAGTAGGGAAGGGCACAGTAGTGTACCTCTATATTATATGAACCAAGAAGTCTTAGGGTGGGTGCAACTGGCAGCAGCCGTTTCGGGAAAGTGATGACTCCTCACAAAGAATGGGAGTGAGCACCCCTGGCAAAGATGCAAGAGTATAGCAAGAGTATATGCATGTTCGGTCCGGTATATGTCCGGACCATGGGGTGTAATCAGTGCCGTGGGCGAGACATTCTCTGTGGAATGGGGTTTAGGGTTTAGGGTTTAGGGTTTAGGGTTTAGGGTTTAGGGTTTAGGGTTTAGGGTTTAGGGTTTAGGGTGGTTGGGCAGGTCAGGCCCAGTGGTCAAGCCGGATGATGAGGCGCAGATGGCCCCTGGCATGCTACTTGGTCGGACAAGCCTGCACCCTAAACCCTAAACCCTAAACCCTAAACCCTAAACCCTAAACCCTCTTTTTTGGGTTGAGCGTGTGCCGCATGTGAGCAGCTCTACTCCACGGTCTCAGCCCAAGGCTCTTGAAGCACTATGCGCCATCTGCGAGGTGCTCAGCGCTCGACACATCAGGGGGGTTTAGGGTTTAGGGTTTAGGGTTTAGGGTTTAGGGTTTAGGGTTTAGGGTTTAGGGTTTAGGGTTTAGGGTTTAGGGTTTTGGGCTGGGACTGTCATGGGGCCCCATACCCTTTAACTAAGAGGAATATATTGGGACTTAGGTCCTGGGTGGGCAACCTTTAACCTTTTGGGGTAGTATAAAACCCCTTAAAAACCCAAAGGTTAACCTTTGTCCCCCAAGGGAACTCAGCACCTAAGAGGATGTTACCCATGACACTAGCAGTCCCCATTATAATCCCGAAAACGGAGTATTGGTGTAAAGGGGAACCTTCCAAGGAATATACCTTGAGTTATGTACCTATCCTGAATATGGTTTTAGGTATGTTCCTTATCTAAGCTCTGTGGGCTATGACTGCTGGGTACCTGGCTTTCTGCCCCTTGCGGTAAGGTACACACGGTGCTTCTCTCACCCGATGCGTCTCCAGCATGCGAGTCGGAGATGTCAATGCTGCCAAGCCGGAGCTTGTTGCCGCTGCCTGAGAGATCTACTTGTTGGGGGGGGCCGAAGGTTAAGGGCCACAACTGGCTGGTTCTTAGTGGGGGATGAGGGAAGGAGGGCCCCGATATAAGCCTGTCCTTGAAAGGGTATACAAAGGGCCCGAATTATTCCCTCATTCCCTACTAAGAACCAGGGGGACAAGTGGTGGCGTTGCATTGCCTTCCCCCCCCCCCCCCAAGGATTGATTTCGGCGGAAGGCAATCGGATCGTCACGCCCTCTTCCTGAAGGTTTACGACCTCTGTGAGGAGCCAGGGGAGCCCTCGAGCGGGCTCAGAGACAGGATCCCCAAACAGTTTTCCAAATCCCCTCCCTGTGAGGAAAAAGAACGCTGGGTGGTGAAGAAACATATTAGCACCTCAAGTAACATAGAGCATCAAGTGTTAGGGGTTGTAGGAAATAGGAATCTTAGGAGCCTGTGTAAGCGCTTTCGGTTTGGCCGCCTGGGGTTCAGGGTGTGGGTTTCGGAATGTGTTGCTGTAGGGCTTCGGACCCTGTTTGGGCTTGCGTGGTAAAACAATTACAATGCGTACACCAAAGCATAAAGCCCTACGCATGTAGCATATTCAGACAAATCACTTGCTGCTTGCATTTCCAGCCAAGAGTCCGTCCATGCCGGGTGTCGTCGCGTGTGTAGGGATCGAGTGTCTTGGAATTGCCTGTTTGCGATCGTGCTGCGTGTGAAGGAGAATGGAACAGCTGGCAAAGGAACAGCTGAGGACCACCAACGCAGCTCTGTGCTGAAGCGTGCAATCAGCTACAGAAGTGTGCCGGCTGAGTACAACCGGCTCCCTAGATTTACTCTCCCTGGTTTTTGCACACCTTTTTTGCTCCATTCAGGTTTCTGCCTAGGCCTCGGCTGCCAAGCATCAATGTAGTCATGCCAGCCCTGTGCGTGATCAAGCCGACAGGACGCCTGCAGGCATGTCTTTGCCACTCTGCGAGCTGCAGAAGCATATGCGATCGCAGAGAAGGCGCGAAGCGCTGAGAAGGAGCCCAGCACAGCTGTAGATATCTGTAGATGATGGCAGTTCGATGTCGGGTTCTTAGAAGATGAATGTGGAGCTGGGTGCCCTGGCGAGGGTTCTTAGTAGCCGGTGAAGGATCCTATAGAGCACCTTCTCCCTAGCTTCCATGTATCGGGGTTCCCTAAACCCTAAACCCTAAACCCTAAACCCTAAACCCTAAACCCTAAACCCTAAACCCTAAACCCTAAACCCTAGACCCTAAAATAAGAACCAGCAAGGTTGCGGCAGCTTGATCCCCTGAGTCGGTCCGAGGTTGAAGCCCCTCCTTGAACCAAAGCTAAGGCCGCCTAGACTTTTGCCTCCTCACGATTTTTTATTTATATAAATAGCACCCAAGGCAGTATTAAGGAGATTAGTATATATACATGTATATATATATGGGAGTGCAGAAGACCCTGAGATGCAGGTGGAGCTCATATGCGTGGCAGACTTCGACCCAGAAGGTTTGGGAGGATACGCCGAGGCTTTGCACGACAGGCCGACAGTCCAAGGAATCCAGGGTTTAGGGTTTAGGGTTTAGGCGAAGTGGCAGGCCTGTTGCAAACGGGTTTAGGGTGCAACTACTTGGGTAGATCCCAGTTAAGTTAAGTGACGACAGAGCCCTGGGGGGGGGGGGGGTGGAAGTCGGATGCCAGACGTCCGTTTGGCATGTGTTCACATGCACACCTACATGCACACATCCCGCGACGAAGGGCTTCTAACTGTGCCGGGCCAGGGTTTGACTTGCAGCAGGGTGTAGGTTCCCAGCCCTTTGAGATTTGTCAGCCTGTGCAGGTGCAGGTACGGTATGTATGCATGGTATAGTGGCTTAATGCTTGGTCAGGTTGTTTCGATCCGCTTCGGGGCAACGAGCCGTGTTGCGTAAGTCCTCAGAATCTGTGCTGCAGTCAGGCCTCAAAGCATGCAGCATCTAGATTGGTGACTTCAGCTTGGTGTTTGCAGTGGGAGCTTTGGGATGCAGCGGCAGAGAGAGAGAGAGAGAGAGAGAGAGCTTGGTGTTTCCTTGATCGACACGTCCCGTACCAAGGACTCCTTTCGATTCTGGTCAGTTCGTTGCAGCTAAAGATGAGCAGTCTCACCTATTGAGCGAGCGGCAGTTTGGCCGAGCAGCATTTTTCTGCCAAGAGCGGTTAAAATTCCTCATGCGACACGAAACAGTGTTGCGCGCAAGGCTTGTTGAGTGGGCTGCTTACAGCCGCCCATCCCGCATCGCATGAGATCGCCTGAGGTCGCGAGGAGACCTTGCCACGTGGTTGCTCGAACATACGCCGGCGCCGCAGTGGAGAAGAGGAAACAACCCTACGCCTACATTCCACAAAAGACCCAACCTAAACCCTGAAAAAAACTGCCGTTCCACCGATTATCCAGGATGTAGGGCAATGGGTTTTGCTGTCCCGGCGTGACGTTGCAAGCCGATCGCAACAAAGGGTCTAGGGATTTTAGCTTGGATGCAAAGAGGGCATGGACACAACTTTTTTAATTCAGGCAGAGAAAAAAGAAGCTGCAAAGTTTTTTTAAATAAGCACCCTCTTTAAGTTTAAGGCAAAGAAAAAAGAAGCTGCAGTTTTCGAGTGTTATGTAAGCAGGGAGCTTGCAATAGGAGGAGCTCTGGAGTTGAAGGCCGTTGGGGGGGAGGGGGGGGGGGGGGGGGCGGCTCAAGGCGCTGTCCGCATGACATATTGCTCTAGCATGTATGACATACTAGGCTAGATGTACAATATACATATATATATATATAGTTATTTATTTATTATGTATATGTATATGTATATACGTATAAGTTTTTTCTTACATTGTATTTTGGTTGTGTCATTTTTACGTATATTGGAAGAACACGACGCCTGCTGGTCTGGCATCCAACACTCCCATGTTTGGGGCCCTCAAGGTAAGCTGTGCATAAACCTGAACCTCAAACTTGAATGAACCCTTACCAGCCCTGAGGCCGGGAAAAAGAAAACTCGGGCCCAAAACCCTAAACCATAAAATTAATGTTACCCTGCAGTGCGGGGTGTCTGCTTGGCGGGTGGCAAAGAACCCCATCAACCCTAAACTCTAAAATCGCTCGTTCCAAGGCTCCCTGGTTTGACCTTCGACCAGGTCATGCTCTCAGCAGATGGTTCACCCACCCCATCCCCCCCCCCCCCCCCCGCCGGGTGCCCCCAAGCAAAAAAGACCTGGGCCCCCCCGAGTTTAACAGGGGTTTAGGGTTTTGTTCAGGGCTGCAAACGGAGCAAAAAAGGGCCAGAAATCCAGAGAGCTGACCATGTTGGGGTTACGGAGGCTCTAAAGACGGGGGGCACTTAGGGTCTAAGAAGCATTGGGCCCAGACCAAGGCTCCTTGCCCCAATGGGTCTTTGGAGGTGTGTTTGCAGCTGATGACAAAAGTGGGGCACAACGAGTGCAGGGCAGTCTTATAGGATCTCAGTAGCGGAGTAGGTAGCCTTTAACCTTCTGGGGTATATGTAATCCAACCATACTTGAAAGGTGAGCCTTTTTTGGCCCAGGTTACTCAGCAACCAGGGTATTTAGGCTGTCGTTCTTCCTTTGAGACTGCCCTGGCGTGCATCTCCGGAGGTCTAACCCCTAAACCCTTAACCCTGAACCCTAAACCCTAAGCCCCAAACCCTAAACCCTAAACCCTAAACCCCAAACCCTAAACCCTAAACCCTCTCTAGGTCATGGACAACTTCTGTGGGACGGTCGCAGCTGGGTGCGCCGCGATCCTGGGGGCGAATGTGCTTTGAACCTTGCAGGCCGCTAAAAAACTGCCGTGGACAAAACAGCGGTTTAGGGTTTAGGGTTTAGGGTTTTAGGGTTTAGGGTTTAGGGTTTACCATGTTTATTCTACGATATCGTTATATACTCATACCTGTATTCTGATATTGTTATATCATTACGTATGTTATCATGAAATTCATATATGATATCTTTATATATTGAAATAGTGTGCTTTGTCTTATTACGATATCATTAGATTCTCATGTTCATAACGATATTTCTATATTATTCTACTACTATTTTTTTGGCTATATCAGCAGTATATTACTTTTATGTTGTTATATCACCATCCCTTTTGCAGAGCTTGGCCCAGGTTGTTTCGTACGCCGCCACCTTAGCAAGTCGGGCACGACAAGCAAACCTTTGCTGAGCCTGGGCTCAGCTCAACATAGGCAGAGTTTTGGGTTTCGAGTTCTAGGATCTAGGGTTTAGGGTTGTTTTGCGGATGCAATCGCTCCCCTACCGCCTTCCGTGGTCTCTTGCACCTGCTACAGAGATTCCTCCTGTGAGCACCTTCTTCATTCCTTATATGGCACCCGAATTTTAACGAATCTCAGCATTCTGAGCTGCACTCTGTTTCTGTACTTCAACCCCCCTAAACCCAGAACCCAAAACCTTGGCCCAGGTCCTGGGCCTTGGAGATCGCCATTTGGAGAACATCTGCCTCACGAAGCAGGGTGAGTTCGGCGCTGAGCAGCATCTTCTTGAAGGGTTTAGGGTTTTGGGTTTAGGGCCTGGAGTTGAATCTGGCTAGTCCTCAAGCCCAGTTGCAAAAAAGGGTTTGGGGTTTGGGGTTTAGGGTCGTTTCTGCCTCCTCGTGTTTAAAGGCAATCCCTTGAAGTGATGCAGTGGGATTCTGATGCTCGCCTGAAGCTGAACCACAGCTGAGGTTTTTCCACATCGACTTCGGTTACTTCCTAGGAGAAGATCCAAAGCCAGCATCTCGTGTCGGGTCATGCAGTTGACGGCTCCTCGCTTCTGAGCCACTAGTGATGAAGCTACCCTAAACCCTAAACCCTAAACCCTAAACCCTAAACCCTAAACCCTAAACCCTAAACCCTAAACCCTAAACCCTAAACCCTAAACCCTAAACCCTAAACCCTAAACCCTAAACCCTACCGGAAAACCCCCATATGCCGCTATTGTCTGTCAGCTGCTCGCTGATCAGAGGCCCTTCGCGCCGCAGGTCAGGCTTCCCGCTCAAGTCGCCGGGGGGCTTAGGAGGAGCATTCGTGCGATTTTCGTTGCTGGTGTTTAAGACTGTTTTCAGATTTTTTGTAAGATGTTTTGAGATATTTTAAGATATTTTAAGTACACTTTTGTTGATATGAAGCCAGGCACAAGCATTGCTGGCGACGAATCGACTTCACCTCCTCTACACCCTAGCCAGGCTTCCTTGCACATGCCTGATTTTCGAGCGGCCGCGATTTCTGTTTCGATCGTTTTTCATTCTGTGCCACTTCTGGCAACCTCTTTAGTTGAGTGAAAGGCGTGCTTACCTGGCCTTGCGACCCTTTGGCACTCTGTTCGCCGGGCTCCTGAACCTGGAGGCAGTATGCACTTTCTAGCTTTGGGTTTCTTCGGGATGGCTCGACTCATTCTCCAGACTCCAGTCCTGCCACTAGAGCCTGCATAGCCCCTGCACATAGAACCTGCAGTTGCTGTGACAGTTTCATGCCAAGAGCCCCGGCCGTGGGGAGGTCGAGAATGGCCAAAGGTATGGGAGGCTGGCCAAGGACCCGCGCTTCACTCAAATGTGGGTTTAGGGTTTAGGGTTTAGGGTTTAGGGTTCCCTGGAAAAGAGACGCCTTGCGCTCCCCAAAAAAGGTTGGAGCTCATCCTCTGATTCACTATCAGTCCTCTTGTGCTTCAAGAGGTTGTGCCTACTTCTTTGGCGCCTATGGGAAACAGCTAAAAGCAGATGTGGCCACCAAGAAAGCGCATTGCCACTGTGGCTTGCAGGATTCCGAGACTGCCATTGCAGGGGCAGGGCGCTCGTCATTGATGCCCAGAGAGCCCATTATACCCCTAAGGAATCCTTAAATTTATACATAATATGAGGATCCTTAATATGATTTGAGGTATATTCCTTTTTTAAAAAGGGGTATTGGGCTCGTTGGGTACTGCCTGCACTGCAGCTGGGTTTAGGGTTTAGGGTTCAGGGTCGCGGGTGTGGGGTTGAAGTAAACTGGGGCAGATTCTGGCAACACTCACAGGATTCCGGATGCAAAAAGAATTTACTTCAATCACCTTGAGTCTGAAGCCAGATAAGGCAAGGGCTTCTGCACAGAAGCAGCCTCACCCCGAACCCTGTTGGCTTGTGACATGATCATTCTGGACAGATGCTCGAGCGCCTTCGCATTGACCAGGCCTGATGGTGGCTTGCTCCATAGTGTGTGTCATCCTTGTTATAAGGAAATCCTTTCTTTCTTTTTTTTGGGGGGGTCTATGTTAGGGGTTCCTTGTTCTCGCAAACTCCCATATAGACAAGAATTGCGGGGGTCGATTCATCAAGACGTCTCCACCATCTAGCAGGCTCGAGAAGCACACTCGACATGAATGCGCCTACATGGTTTCCCCGAATCCCCAAACCCTAAACCCTAAACCATCCTAAACCATCATGACTGCACGAGAGAGAGAGAGTGCTTGCAGAGACCGTATTTTCACTTCTAGCAGGTTCTTGATGTAACCCAAACCCCCATCAGAGGGGCCTTATAGAGCCGAAACTTCACAGTGACCCACTCCGACGAGATGCAGCCTATTACTTACTGCTGGTTAGTAGGGAGTTTGGGGAATAAGGTGCCATATGCCCCCTTTCTACCCTTAAAGGGATTCTATAGGGGTACCAACAGTAAGACTTTGCAAACACCTGGTCCTACAGTACGCCAGGGTTAAGAGGGTTGAGGGTTTGACATGTTAGATCTAAGGTTTTAAGAGGGTGCAAGGGGTTTTGCAAACACCTTGTCCTACAGTACGGCAACAGGGTTTATAGGGTTTGAGATTTTAGGGTTCAGGGTTTAGAGGGTTTATGGGGGGGGGTTATCGGATTGTAGGGTTTATAGGGGTCATAGGGTTTATGGGCTTTGTAGTAGGGTTTATGGGAGGGTCTAAGGGGCTTCGGTGGCAAATGCTCGGCACCGGATATCGATCTGGGAGACCAGACGCGGGTTTTCTACTGGGCGTGTGGAGCGCGTTGCGCGGCATGACTTTGTTCAACCAGTGTTTAGGGTTTAGGGTTTAGGGTTTGGGGTTTTGGGTTTAGGGTTTAGGGTAGTGCGTAAATATCACTGGGGTTACGTGACTTCGTGTGGGATGATATGAGCTAGGTACTTCCCAAGACTTTAGCCTGAGTTTAAGTTTGTAGCTTTCCATCGGTATAGTCCTTCAACTGCAAGTCCTTTGAACAGGAAGACGAAGAGAGGGCCGCAGCCGAATTTCTGGCTCTGGTCCAGTCCCCGGAATACGCGGCCAAGTGCGAGAGTTGTAAGGATACGGACGTTGTAGTCCGGAAGTTTCCCGCTACCACTTAAGTAATGCGGCAGTGACTCCAATAGTTCCAGCCCCAGCAGCTGCTATTGTCACAATTTATCAGTCACGGCGAACGGCGAACTCTTTCTGCAGCCAGCGACGCTGAGCTGCCACTGCATGACATTGCTTCCTCTTGTCGCGGTGCTTGCGCAGCGTTTTAGGAGCAGCGCCTTTAGTTACCATGGAGGAGCAATCAAGCACGGTAGTAGGGAGAAGAAGTGAATCGAGGCGAGGCTTGCTCTAACGATGGCACGAGAGCAAGTCAATATCTTTCCTTGCGTTCGGATTCTTTTATGTATATATAGACCAGTAACTACGCAGCACTTTCCTTCGTCAGCCTGCGTTGCGCACGGGGTGTTTCGAAGGTACTGAGAGTTTGTAGCCAAGTTCGAATAGAAGCAGCAGGGCAGCGCGGAAGTCGGAAGCCCGTGCTTCCGGCACAGAGCGCCATGCCTGCTACAGACGCTTCCGACGCGCGTGCTTTGGCAGCGGCGCCCCTTGTGCCGGTTCAGAGGGTCAGGCCGACCATGCCCTTTGGAATCGGTTGCCTTGAAAAACTTGCGGAGTAAAATCCTTCTAAAGCCCGCAGCTTGTATAGCACCGAATTCGGGAGCTGGCCCTGAGGTGGAGATCGAATGCCACGCTCCAGCGCGTTCTGGGGCTGACCTTGAAAGCATCGCTGCTCTCCGCTGACCGGTTTTTCGATTTGTTCAGCCTTTGGAAAATCCTGCGCACGTCGAGTACTTGGCTCGACGTGGCCGCTCGGCAGGAGCCAGGAGCTTGACAAAAGGCTTTATGATTGGGTCGCGGGAATGCTGATACAGTATATGTTACCGTATGCTATTGCACGGGCTTTATTATTATGAATGGTTCATTAGTAGTCATTAGTTACAAAGCCCGTATGATAGTATTAATAGAAGGGCAATGAAGAATTAAGTGATTAACTATTGTGCTCCAAAGGCCCCTGCCACGCTTTCCCAATTCATCTTACTTCCAATCCAGAAGCTAGAGTATCAGCAGCAGCAGCAGCAGCGGCGGCGGCGGCGGCAGCAGCAGCAGCAGCAGCAGCAGCAGCAGCAGCAGCAGCAGCAGCAGGCACTAGCTCTCCAGATGTTCTTCGTGTGTTTGTTTAACCTCAAAGGGGTTGCGCTTCAGCCCTTGGCAGTGGGACTTTCGGAGGTGCCAGGACACGAAGGAGCCAGTTGCCCAGCGCTGCAGTCAACGAAGTGCTAGCAATTCCTGATTCAGACTGACAACAGCAACATGAACAATCATAAAATGAATAAATGAATAACCCTACTCATATCTGTATCGGTGAGTTCTTGAGAGGTGCAACAGACAAGCTTCTGGCTTCTCTGCTTTGGAGCGTTGGCTTCAACGGTTTTATCGGCCCTGACCTTGAGCCGACACCGTGCAGCAATTCGCCAAAACCGTCCTTATGGCTGGGGTCTGGCGTTGTTCATCTCTGCAATCCAGCTGGCCCCTCTTGTGGAAATGGTGGACAAGATCGGCGATGGATTCTGTTGGGGCGTGGGTGAGGAGGATGTCTTGAGCTCGGTGGCATCTGTGGGAGCCTGAGATAGTCCCCACTTTTGCCGTGGCAAGATGTCCCAAAGAGCCTTGCGAACCAACATGTCTCCCCGAAACCCTAAACCCTAAACCCTGCTTCCGAGGTGATCAGTAGCTCCCCGCACGATGGGCCCACGGCAGCCGCAGCTCTAGCTCGGCGCTCCAGGCGCCAGGCAATGGCTGAGATGAAAGGGAGCCGGTACGGTGAGAATCTGATGCGTGGTCTTCGGAAGCTGACGATTGCCAGCTTACCTTTGATCCTCCTGTAGCTTGAATGCGCATGGGGGTTGTTGGGGGTTGTTAGTAGGATCCCCCTGATAGAATCCTGATAGATAGGCTTCTTAGAACAGGGTCTCGTATGTTGTTCCCCCCAAAACATGTCATCCTCTCCCCTGCTTTGAACACGCCCCCAACAAAAACTCTAGGGGCTGTCGTGTTTTGCGGGGGAGGCAATCTATGGGCAAATAGAAAATGAAATCCCCTTTAAGGGACCCCCCCAAAAGGGATTTTTTCGGAAACCCCTATATGAGTTAGGTGGATGAGAGTTGACGGGTTGGGAGCGGACCAAGGTCGGCAATTGTGCACTCGGCACCTCGGCTGCGGAACCGAAAAGATAGAGTTTAAGGTTTGGAGTTTGGGGGTTTAGGGTTTAGGGTTTAGGGTTTAGGGCGGTTCGGGCTTAGGATTGGGGCTTGTTCTGAAGGATGGTCTTCTTGGCAAATTTGTTTCGAGGCAAAGTCGGCTATGTTGGTGTTTCCTATTTCCTTTCTGCGAAACGAAGCCCTCGAAAGGAACCCTGATCTGGAAAACCAAGCATCATGCAGCTATTGGCTGCAGCTAGGTTAAGGTCAGAAAAGAGCAAAGGCTCGCACATGCTCATAGCATGCCTGTTGTTCTTCTGCAGCCCTCTGGCACTCTGGCGTGTGAGGCATGGCTCCGCGAAATCGCGCAGGCGCCACACGCATGGGATGGCAACTACACCGCAGAAGCATCAGCGCTGGCCGTGGGCATCATTTGCTTGGCCATGGCGTGTGCCGACGTCCGGCTGCCATAAGAGGTTGGGAGTTGAGAGGCCCAGTTGCAGAGCCCACTTATCCGGTGCACACAGCCCTGAGTTGTGTGATGTTGTATGGGTGTGAGGGTATATGATATGGTGTGTAAGAGCTGCTGGGAGCCTAGCTGCATTAGCACTCACACGGCGAGATATAGCGAAAGATTGCCAGATATTGCGAGCCGCAAGGATGTGGTGCTTTATGTCTGGGTGGATGACGCCTTCGTTCGCACCCACAAGAAACTGGTCCAGATACACTACTTCATCGAGATCCTGACCAGGTGCAGTTGCCACAGTACTTGTTACCGAAGCGCTGGTACCCTAAACCCTAAACCCTCAACCCCAAGCTACCTGAGCCTGGTTGCAGGCTCCCCTTGTGCCTTCTACTGCACTGCGTCCACTTCGACAAGTGCAATCCGCTCCTCTTCCTGTGGATGGGCGATGTAACCACCAGCGTCCTGCTGCTTCTGATGCCCACGCTGTGGGGCTGGACACGTCGGCGGCTATCTTGCCGCCACGCCTGGAGCCAGGCCGGCAAGCATCATTCTGTCAGGTGATGAGCGCGTGTCTGTGTTTGCACGTTTGTCTGCATGTTTGCATGCCGTTGCTGTTTTTTCATCTGTCTTGAAGTTTCCAGTATCCTTGTTGTGTTTGGGCTTGTTTTGGTTTGTGCTGGCTTTGCAATTGTTTTGTCTGTCTGTGCGTGTTCCCACATGAAAATGCGTGTGGTTGTTGCTTTCGTTCATTGCAACAACGTTTGTTTCTGCTTTCCGGGAGAAAGTCGGGGCTTTCGACTTTGCCAGAAAAAAGTTAGACAACAGGTTGGCAGCAAAAGGTACACATATTTTGGGGAGCACAAGCATTATTCATCAGTCCCCCCAGGCACGCGGATCACACATGCTATTGGTACACTGGTATACAAGAGTTCAAGAGTAAACGAGGCAAAATGCCTCTGTGTATGTAGGTGGTTGTGTGGTTTCCTTGTTTTGGTTTAGCTTGGTCTATGATTGATGAGAGCTGGTCGTGAATGCAGCTTTGTTTGCTTCATTGAGATTTTTTGTGCGAGCGTGTGGTTGCCATGGATCAGCTCCGGGAGGTCGCCAGTGCCGTCATCATGTCTCAGATCCTCTTCTTCGTGAACATCACCGTGTTTGATCCCCGAGAAGCGTTCCAGTTCGTCAACGCTGGGTTCTACATCGCACCGCTGCAGCATTCATCCACCGAGAAGCAAGTGGCTGAAAGGGCATGCAGACATGTTTGAGCCAAGAATTTGCCTAGCCATGGCTTCCCAGATGACCCAACACCCTTTTTGCATCCCTACACCCTAAACCCTAAACCCTAAACCCTTACAAAACTGATCTCAGGTGAAGTACATGGAGGCCTTCATAATCTGCAAAATGCTTCAGTGGCACGGTGGGTTTCAGTCGGGGTTCCTGCAGCGGCTGAGCGACGCTCGCTTACCCTACTAGTAACATAATATTCTGTTGTTGTTAGTGTTTTTAATGGCATTATGTCGTCATGACGTTTATGCTATTATATTAGTACTTAGATGCGAGAATAGCGAGAGCAAACTGATCTCCTCCCGCATTTCTTGCGCGTCTGTCTCTCACTCTCTCTCTTTCTCTGTGTCTCAAGTTCCTTCTTTTTGTTCTTTCCTTCCTTACTTATTTCCTTCTTTCCCTGTTTCTCTCGTTCCTTTTTTTTTTCTTTCTCTCTCTCTCTCTCTCTACCTCTTCTTGAACATTCTAAGGAGTTTGAGCTAGCTGCTGTGCTGCTCAGTGCAGCCGTCGTGCTCCGTTCTGCAAGAAGCACAAAGTGACGGAGTGTCAGAGTGCTTGTCAGCAACTGCCAGCGGGTTCTTGTAGGGATTCATGGTCAGCGGCGTGCACAGGTGTGGGTTGTGGTGCCAAAGTTGCGGGCCCTTCAGGATGCGACCTCCTCCTCCGCCGCTTGTCCAATGAAAAAACACCTCTAGCTGATCAAGTGGACACTGGCGACCTTCACACTGCACCCCAAATCCAACAAACCAAGCGACTTAACTCTGGAGGTCGGGATATTTGGCCCGAAACCTGCACCCGTCACCCGCGGCCCAAAGCCCGCTGTAAACCCCTACAAAGACACCACAATTAAGACCAAAAGCCCTCTAAACCATAAACCCAAAACCCCTCCTTTCTCCGACCAATATACCCCGCATTGCTGTGGCTAGTCGGGTGGCAAAAAAAGCCCTAAACCCAACATTCCACCCTCAAGACAGCTTTCAGGAAGCCATCCCGCGACTTTCGCGGCTCTTACCCACTGGAGAGGTGCCTGGCGACCTCGAGGCACCCTACGGACGGTTGAGGGTTTTGGGGCTCAAGTTGTAGGGTTTCAGGGTTTGCGAGATGTAAAATGGTTTAGGGTAAAGGGTTTAGGAGTGCAAAAAAGGGTTTCAGACAGAAGCAGCCCCGGAAGAAAAACGGGGTTTCAGGTGCTAAGGTGAGAGGCAGTTGCGCGGAGACCTGCAAAAGGGCGCTCAGGTGTCTAATTCCCGTACATGCCTCCTCAAAGTGTATCCAAAGCTACTCATTCTTAGCCCTAAACTTTTCTGTGCCTTGGCGGGGTTTCACTGAGACCCGAAGCCGGGTGACGCGCGTAACCGTAGGAGCCGACGCCACTTCACGCGCCTGCTTAGCTTCGGATCTCCTATGTACATGCTCGTCGCAGTGCACGTCTGCATGTGCAGAGGTGTGCATATGTCTAAATCAGTTTAAATGCATTTGTTTGGGGTTTGTGTGGGCCATCCTCGGCCCCTTTGCCTAGCATGTATGTGCTGGAGCACCAGCAGCAGGGAGGGGAGGGGGGGGGGTCATCCAAGCAAACAGCGGGGTTGATCCACACTCCTGTATGGGCCTTCTATGGTACCCTATACTAAATTGCACTGGAGGCCCAATAGGATTCCTATACCCTCAACCCTCAAACCCTAACCTAAACCCTAAACCCTAAACCCTAAACCCTAAACCCTAAACCCTAAACCCTAAACCGATGACGTCCCTGCTGCGACTCCCATAGCCTCCTTAGGCAGGCCGCCGATCTCGCAGCCAGCTCTTCGGGATACCTCAGGCCTTGCCAACTGCTTGATAAGTAGTTGCCATTGCTCTGATATTGACTGCTATTATTATTATTGTTGTTGTTCACAGTACGTATCAATTCTTACACACGTTTGCTATGAGGGCTCCGCGGTTTGGAGGGTCTTGTGGGGTTAGGTTTGGGGTTGGTCGAGATAAGGTTGGGGGGGTTTGGGAACCTTGCTCGCAACCATCTAATCCGAATTCCCAGCTAGACAGGTGGTAAACACTCTTTTGGAAAGGGCTTTCTTTAACTTTAACCCAAAGCTCCAAACGCCAAAGCCTGGACGAACCGCGCGGCAGCTATGCAAGGGCGAACAAAGAAACCCTAAAAGCCCTAGCAACCCCAAAGCCCTAACATACCCTAAACCCTTAAACCCTAAACCCGGAACCCTAAACCCTAAACCCTAAACCCTAAACCCTAAACCCTAAACCCTAAACCCTAAACCCTAAACCCTAAAGCAAGAAAATCCCTAAACCCTCAACCCTCAACCCTCAACCCTCAACCCTAAACCCTAAACCCTAAACCCGAAACCCAATCAGGGCCTCTCCCTGGAGCTGGGCACTGTGGGATCGCCCCAGAGCTCCTCCGCGCTCGTCGCGCGGCTCCGAGGGGGTCAGGCAAGCGGCCCGGAGAGTGGGAGTAGGGTTTAGAGTTTAGGGTTTAGGGTTTAGGGTTTAGGGTTTAAGGTCTATAAGGGTTAGGGTTTGGGGTTTTTGGGGTTTAGGGTTTGGGGGCACGCGAACCGCAAACTCGTTTTGGGGGGCGAGTGGGCCCCAAACTCGTAACTTATTGTAGCATGTTTTGCAGCAGTAAATAATACCATTTCAAAATAGGGAAGATGAGAGTGTATTGATCTCACTTTATCAGGCTATATCCGGCCCTCGACTTCTTGCTTTTGGTGCCCCATTGCGGTCCTAAAGTTTACATGCCTTTTCTTTGCGGGGGGGGGGGGGGGGGGGGTGGGATGGGCTGGGGGCACCGATAGTTTATAAGCCATCTGGGCGTATAAGGGGCAACACTCAGTTACAACTTGCTGAATGGAGGCCCCACGGCCCGCCACACAACGTCTGGACTTGCTCGGCGCCCCTTGGATTGCCCATCATTAATTTGGTTCTCGGGGTTTAGTTTGGGATGTTCCCCATTATCCCTGTTAAGGACTGTTAGTCTCAGGGGGAACATCCAAAGGTTTAGTTTGGCACTGCTGTGTTAGGGTGTAGGCTGGCATCCACTTTTCGCCAACATCCTGGATGTTGCTTTCTCCTCGTCATGTCTTCTCGTGGAACAAAAGGGAACTTCTTTCAGTTTGTTTGTCGATCTCCGCTGCTTGAAGCATTGTGTTCAGCATCGGGGCACGGGGTTTTGCCGAGCCAGAGTAGTAAAGAGATCCTTGAAGTCCTGGACATCCATCAGTTCATGGTCGGGTAGCTTTTGACATTCAGACAACAATAGGGCACAACGACAACACGATGACCCCCAGCATCAGGAGAACATGTGGGTCTTGATCTTGTAGTCAAGGTCAACATCGTACCCGCAGAACGAGAAAGGGCAGTCAGAAAAAACGAGCCCGGAAACCCATGATTTTGCGACTAGCAGACGGAAAAGAATTGAGTTTAGTTCTCAATTGCTCGACTTTTTTGGCCATTCCAGGACATGTTGGAAGGCTTGTGCCTTCTAAGTCAGTCGCAGAGTTCTCGCAACCGGCCAGCTGTGGCACGCAGCACGGTTGTGGATGTGCTGTGGTCCTTGGTCCTGCCCTGGGATGGCGAGTACGATGACGGACGCGGAGGAGTTGTGAAGCTGGAAACCTTGGATGTCGAAAAGGGGGCTGTGCTTATCAAGAGGTGGCAGCTATATCCCCCTTGGGAACTATTTTTTTCTTTTGTTTATGTAGAAGATACTATTTTGGTATTAAAACTACTATTTTTATTAAGGTTCTAAGGGATTTTGGTATTAAAAATACTATTAAGGGATTTTGGTATTAAAAATACTATTAAGGGATTTTGGTATTAAGAATACTATTAGTTCTTAAGGTTCTCAGGGGGGGAGTAGAGGCAGAAGCCCACAGACGGAGAGGAAGGCTCCGCATCCAGCATGGCTTCGGAGAGAGAGACTAGGCAGCTTCTTGGGACATTTTTTCTTTTTTCCCTGGTTTAGGGTTTAGGGTTTAGGGTTTAGGGTTTAGGGTTTGGGGTTTGGGGTTTGGGGTTTGGGGTTTGGGGTTTGGGGTTTAAGAGGATTATAGTTAGGTCCCTTATTGGGTTTAAGAGGATTATAGTTAGGAATTATGTTTCGGAGGGTCTTTTTTGGGGCCATCCTAGGAGACGGAAGCACTGGGCGTCATTTTTCAAGGCACGGTGCTGGAGGTCGTGCTGAGTCAGCAGGAGGGGCGAAAGCTTGGATCCTTCACTGGTAAGCAGATCCTTTTTGCAGATGAGCTGGGTACAGTCTGGACTCGCCGCAAGTGCAAGGGCCGGGAGGGCCGGGAGTGCGAGAATGGTTCCACCGCACCCGCGGCCGCGAGGGAAGTCTTGAGGCTGGTTCTTACACAGTTGCTGCTCTCCTTGCGGTGGGAGCCGACACATCTGGGCATCGGACCCTCGAGCGCCTCTACTGGAGCCCTTGTGGCCATCGACGCATCCCAAAGGCCGCTGCTGAGCTTCCTGCTGCGCTACGCCACGGGGACGCAGGACCTCACCCTCCTCTCGGAGATATACTGGTCACTCTGGTGCTTGTCGGAGGATTCCTTAGATGCTGAGCGTATCACCTATGACAAAGCCCGCTGGGTGCTGATCAAATCTCTTGCAGGGACCATCGAGTTCTGGGATGGAGCCCGTGGCACGCGCTTGGACAATATGCACCTTGTCGGGGCAGTAAGAGGGTGTGAAGCTTCAAGGTTTTTGGCCGAAAGATCATGAGTTAGTCCAGCGACATTCATGATGATTAATGCAGCTACCCTCCTTTGTATCTGCGAGCTGGCGACACATGACTGCACTGTTACATGGTTAATGCGTCGTCTTTCAATGCCAGACAGGTGTCCGGATGTTGACCGTATCGTTTCCTTTCGCAGCGCCGCGCTGCGCTTGCTGACGCAGCAGGCCTGGGGGATCCCCAAATAGCTTTAACTGGCCGTGGGTTGGCCCCTGGTTGGCCCTTGCTGACGCGTTGCGATGCGCTTGCGACGCGTTTGTGACACGTTGAGTGGTGATGCAGGCTTCGCTGTGGCAGCAAACGCTCAGCCTCGCAGACCTTGGTGCCCAGACGGCGGGAGCATTGTCGCATTGCACCCATTGGCTCTAGGATGCAGAAGCTACTGAAAAGGATCGTCACTAGCTAGTCGCACTCCTTAAGCCGTCGCCGCTCGGAACTGGCTTGGATCCTAATTCTTCTCGAGAGCAGGTGGGTGAGACAGCGGAGAAGACACGAGCAGTGCGGAGTCGGCTCCTTGAGCTGAAGAAGGCTGCGGAGGACCTGGGCACTGCCCTGTTCTCGGTAGAGTGTAGGTACAAAAGGCGCCTTCATAATTTGAATAGAGTTTTGGGGCCGGGGTTGTGACAGTGTGAAAACATTTGGATCCTGTGGGGAATAGTCTTATTAGTAGATATTCCGATCCCTATATGGGGGTGTAGTATGGTGTACTCATAAAACGGGCAAACAGCTTCAAACAGCCACAACTAACTGCAAGAGCTCAAGAGGAGGCGCGCCACCAGGAATACCTGCCAGAAGATGCCTACATGGAAGAAGTGCTCGAGGCCGGGCTGGTGTAGGGTTTAGGGTTTAGGGTTTAGGGTTTAGGGTTTAGGGTTTAGGGTTTAGGGTTTAGGGTTTAGGGTTTAGGGTTTAGGTTGCTGTGCGCGCTGCAGAGCCTACTGGTGGAGGAGAGACAGGGGTGTTTTGATAGACCCCCGATGATACTGGAGCCCTAAACTAGACCCGAAGACCCTCAGCTTCAACTCTAATTCCTATAAACCATTCAGAAAGAGCGGAGCCGGCAACCCGGCAGGTGGATCCAGAGCTGCGCAGCGCCACGGCTGCTGCCAGTGCCATGGCTCCAAGGGGCGTGCAACAGGGTTTAGGGGTTTAGGGGTTTAGGGGTTTAGGGGTTTAACAGGGGAGGCAGACGTCTGGTGGTGCAGCGTTCGAAAGAAGATGGGGAAAGACACAAAAAGAAAGACAAAGAGAGAGGCAGAAAGGGAGGGAGAACGGGTCAGTTCACCTTGGGGAAGATCAGGCGTCGACAGCGGTTTGCTGTAGGTCAATGCTCAGACGGGCTCATAATATATGATATCATGATAATCTGAGTATATATATATATATGCATAAAAATATAAATATAAATATATAAATATATAAATATATAAATATATAAATATATAAATATATCAATTTATAAATATATAAATATTTAAATATATAAATACAACAACACAACAAAAGCCAAGACTAAACAATGCCAATATAGCGATGTAACAATGCAACACACAGATACTAATATTATCACGATACAACAATGTTAGTATGCATAATCTAGAATAATCGAAGAATATAGGAATAAAATTGCCATAATCTAATACTATAATATCTATATATATATATATATATAATAGCAAAATAAATGCAATTGCACTTTCTTAGGTTTGGTGGCAGTGCCCCGTACAGCCTTCCTATCTGCACCTGTGGATCCCTCCGTGCCGTTTCTGGGCGTCGACATCAGCAGCTGTGCCTTGCAGGCAGTACTTGGAGGCTTAGGGCTTAGGGCTCAGGGTTTTTTTTAGGGTTTTAGGGTTTAGGGTTCAGGGTTTAGGGTTTAGGGTTATCGAGGCGGGCGAAAGGTCTCTTGGAAAAGGGTTTAGGGTTTAAGGAGCTCTAAGTAAGGTTATAAGTAGGGTAAATATGCTTCTAACCCCATCTTAGGGTATTGATAGCCCTACTTGCAAGTACCCATGAACCTCCAGGCAGCCTCGCGTGGTGTTCGATTTCTGGGGTAAGGGTTTAGTAGGGTTTGGGGTGGCATGGGTTGGAGTACATGGTATGATATCAATTGAAACCTCAAGAAGCCAGACAATTAAACCCTAAACCCTGGTGGAACCGAGGCGAGATCCTACCCTCCAATGCCGCGCCGCTTTTGTTGGGGTGTTGGAAGGCGATACCATGGTTTATTTAGGGTTTAGGGTTTAGGGTTTAGGGTTTAGGGTTTAGGGCTTCGGCTTTAGGTGAGCCCAACGACGTGCTCTAGCTGCTTGCTTGGGGCTTCGGTTTTAGGGTTTACGGGGCCGGGCTGGGCAACCAGGGCACCAGATGATGCTGCTGTGAAAAAGGCATATTCGAGATACCCCGGGTTTTGAGGAAATCCCCAATTTTTTGTGTTGCCGAAATGGCGTGGGAGGCCAGAGCACCAGGGTTTAGGCTCTAGGGTCGGCAGCCTCTACACCAATAGCAGAATAGAATCTACAAGTAATAATGTCGACTAAGAATATATATATATACATATGTTTCTGAAAGTCTGAACAGTATAGAGTGTTTAGTATGCTCCAATAGCCAGGCAAGTCATCGCATTCTGGGCCCTGCAGGAGACGCCTGGAGAGTGCGCTATGGAAGCAAATGAGGGACACTTTCGGCGGCAGACCAGCGACAATGAGGCGGCACAGCTCGGTGGACCAAATGATCGGTTTAGCTTGAGACCCCCCCCCCCCTCCCCCCCCCCCCCCCCCCCCCCCCCGAAGCCCTTAATCCTAGAACCCCACAAATATTGAGCCCAATTGCTGGCTCTAGGTCACCAAGTACATGGTCAAAGTGGGCGATGACCTTCGTCAGGTGGGGGCCGTTTGTTTTTTTTTTTGGGCGGGTGTTTTCAGCGCCGCCAACGTGGGACGAACCTGAACGCTTATTCTTGGCTTCGTACACTGGCACAATATGGTACACACACCCACATATATCTATGTATATATATATATGTATACACACATATGGGTTTGCGCTTTTTTGGGGGGCCCAAGTTTAAGAAGGGCGCACGGGTTGCACACCCGCGAAACATACCCCGTAACATACCCCCGAAATTGCAGGTAAAGTAGCTCATGATGCCGCGAAACATACCCGAAACACATACCCCGAAACATACCCTGATCCCAACACCTGTCGCCCACCCCCACCATTATAACACAAACCCATATACTTATATATACGTACATACTTATATATATGTACATATACATATATATATATATATATATACACATGTGGCATAATCTGGCATCATCATTGGCGAGGATTCCGTTCGTGACTTTCTTGAGCACTCTAGGATCAGCTGGTGCTGCAAATGCTTCACCTCATGGACCTCGTGTGGCAGGACTGGGCGTGAATGTCTGTAGGGTTTATGTTTAGGGTCTTTCTAGTTCACCCGACCACCTTAGTTGCTTCTTGTTGGGCCAAGTGTCGGTCTCCAACGTGCAGAAAGACCCAGAGAGTGAAACAGGCAGAGGGGGGCCAGAAAGAGGCCTAAACGGCCTAAACGGCCTAAACCTTTCGCACCTACCCTTTCGAGAGCCTTGCTGTCAGGAGCGGCTACCCCCAGCAGAGACTCGGATGCTGCGATTCGTGCCTTACAGCGTCTTGGCTCAGAGGCTGCGGAAAGTACATTCAGGATTGCATTTTTTCCGCATATCTTCCCAAGATGCTAAAAATTCCTGGTTATAGGTACCCCGCAACCCCATGCCCCTGCGCACTCCATGCCGGCACCAACGGCATTTCGGCACGTGCGCTCAGACAGTCATTTAACTTCTTTCATGTGTCTGACAACGGAGAATCCGTGTCTCGGAAATGTCCCCTCAGCAATGCATTACAATATATATACATATATATCTATATCTATATCTATATCTATATATATCTATCTATCTATATATACAGTATGTATATATATATATATATCTATAGGAGATGTGTGGTGACCTCCAGCCAAGGAGTTCTGGCAATGACCCCTAGCGCGGGCTACATCAAGTTCGTCCCGGGAGCGGTGTCGCTTTCGAAAGCCCTGGCTCAGTCGAACGGCGAAGCTTATCTAGATCTCTACTTGCAGACTTGTGGCTTCAATTCGCGCAGGGGTGTGCGCAGGGAACTTGACAACTTGAAGCCCGAAAGCGCCACTAAGAGGTGAACTCATGAGGTAACCCTAAGCCCTAAACCCTAAAACCTGAAGATGTTTGCGACCTTAGAAGCCCAAGAATCAGTGCAAGGATCTGATGGTGTGGTTGACGGCAAACCGCCCCTATGAGCGGAGCCTGGATGAAGTCTTTCGATTGCACATATAGCATGGGCTGGAGTTTTGGGGTTTAGGGTTTATAGGGTGATTTATATGGTTCGTAGGGTTTATAGGGTTTACAGGATTTATTGGGTTTATAGGGTTTATAGGGTTTATATGGTTTATAGGGTTTATACAGTTTGTAGGGTTTGCAGGGTTTACAGATCCTTGGGCTTCCGGGCTCCCACGGCAGGCACTGGGACTGCAGGTCCTGATGACTTGGACAACTCACCCCCCCACCCCCACCACACCTCCCCCTTGGCGTTTAGGGTTCAGGGTTTAGGGTTTAGGGCGTACCACAAAGAAGGTTGGGAAGCAAGGCTTGCCGGGTTCCTGGACCAAGTACTCAAGCATGTTTGCAGCGGCCACTAGCCCTTTCAGCCCTACAAGCTCGAACGATAATTGGACCAGCATCAGGCGCCGCATGTTCTGTAGATTGCGTGCATGCTTGACCACTCAGCACATGCTCTCCGTGAAGTACGTAGCAGCTTGTGATATTTCGCGACAGGTTCTTGCAAACTTGTGTGGCAGTGCTGCGGCATACTGCGTCGCGACCTATGCCGGGCTCTCGGAACAGTGCCGAGGAACGGCTGTTGCATTTTGTTGCTTGTGATTGGCATACGGCCTGATGCAGACGCAGACGCAGATGCAGAGAGACAGAGACACAGACACGGACACTCACACACACACACACACTCACACACACGCACTCTCACACACTCTCACACACTCACTCACTCACACACACACACACACACACACACACACACTGACACACAGACACACACACACACACACACACTCACTCACTCACTCACTCACTCACTCACTCACTCACTCACTCACTCACTCTCTCACTCTCACACTCACACTCACACTCACACTCACACTCACACTGACACACTGACACACTGACACACTGACACACACACACACACACTCACACTCACACTCACACACACTCACACACACACACACTCACACACTCACACGCTCACACTCACTCGCTCTCACTCACTCTCACTCACTCTCACTCACTCTCACTCACTGTCACTCACTCCACTCACTCACTCACTCACACGCGTACAGAGACAAATACAGACACACAGACAGAGACACCCACCCACACACACACACACACACACACACACACACACACAGAGAGACAGAGACACAGACAGAGACACAGACAGAGACACAGACAAAGACACGGACAGAGACACAGACAGAGACACAGACAGAAACACAGACAGAGACACAGAGAGAGACACAGAGACGCACATGCACCCACTCCCATGCACGCACACAAGCTAGTTCTCAGGATTATTGCGTATGTTGCACAAACATCAATGGTTTCAAAGCAAATGAAGTTTTTGCTCAGGTTTTGCTGTGTTTACGCGTTAGAGGCAGGGTTGCGAATTATTAGCGTTCTTCCGGGAATGTGCAAAATCCCAGGCGGCTTGCTAACAAAAATGCGTCGCGTGTTATCATGTATGAACCGTTTGTTTTCAGGTCTGTTGAGGTTGTGTCTGTTTTAAGAGGCTTGTTTTGAGTCTTGTTTGGTAATCCTCTGGCCGCACGGATGCAGGGGTAGCATGGATGTCCTGAACCGGGTACAGGTACTGGTGCACTGGCCACACGGGAGCACTGGTAATTCTTCTACCAAAAAAGCATGGACTGACTAATGAGCATTCCAGCCTGAACTCTGAACCACTCTGAGTTCATCTCCCTGTTTTACCTTCACAGGAGCTGATGCTAGACATGCCTTCTGCTACGCATGGATAAGGCTCCATGTTGCTCCAACTTTGGCACACGCTTGGCACATGGCTAGCTATCCATGTCCACGCTAGAGGCAGACTGTATGAGCAGATGTAGCGCATGGCGACGGTCGAGATCCAGAGTTGCGATCTCTCTTGCTCTATCCACGCTGCCGTTCTTTGGGCAGGGTGCTTGCATGGCGCTGGTCACTTTGGAAAGCGAGTTCGGATCTAGATGGCCGCAACTTTCGGTGGCCCTGGGCAGGCCAAAGCGATATGCAGCTTGGGTCAACCCCTTTGCTGCCAAAGATGCAGCTGAAGGGCTACTCAGATCACATGGTCTGGAACCCTTACCTGGCATTGCAGGTAAGGCACATCTGTGGGCTCCAACTGATGAACCTGAAAAACTGCTGCCAAAGCCCCCAACCTGCTCATCCAGTGGCTTGAAGGCTTACTACCCACTGGACTTGGCCTCAGCCATGCCTGTCTTGGCCCTTCTCCAAGTTTTGGAGCCAGGCGTGCCAGGCATGCCAAGCACGGCGCTCGATGCGTGCGCAGCACCCGGCGGCAAGTTCCTGCTGCTGGCAGGCGCAGTGCTGGGAAAGGAGATGCGCAGGGCGGATCTGGTTGCGATAGAGAGTGATGCTTTCCGAGTGGGCCGGCTGAAGCAGAATCTACGCCTGTATTTGCCCGAAGCCACCTCGCGGCACGTGCGGGTGCTCCGCGCTGACTCTACAAGAGCTCTTGGCCAGTTGCAAGAAAGCCCCTTCGACGCCATTCTGGTCGACGCGCCTTGCTCTTCAGAGCGGGAGAGGCTCTTGCGGTCGTTGCGACGAGGGCAGCGCAGCGAAGGCTGGAAGCTAAGCAAAGCTCAAGCGAATGCCCGACGGCAGGTCAGCTTGTTGAGTTGTGCCTTGCAGAATATCTTGCCCGGAGGCATAGTTATTTATGCCACATGTGCCCTTTCCCATATCGAGAACGACCTCGTTGTTCAAGAAGTTTTAAACGACCCGAAGAACTGTGTGTTGCCAATCTCACATGATGTCCCCGGTGTTGAGATCGAATCGACTCGCTACGGCTGGCGAGTTTTGCCTGACCGCGGCGGCTGGGGACCTTTGTACTGGGCGGCGTTGTCCCGCCGAAGCCTTGCCAGAAGCCGTTAATCGATCTGGTAAGCAAAAGAGTGCCCTCGGCCGCGATCGCCACAAATCGAGACTCTGAACTTTCGTCCGCTTCACATGCGCTGTTTTTTGTCATGGTCCCAGGTCCTGGGCATCGGTGATCGGCACTTGGACAACTTGCAAATCACACCAGAAGGCCACTTCTTCCACATCGACTTTGGCTTTATCTTCGGCGAGGCGAGTTTTGGGCCATCAGCGCTTCGGAGGTGTAGACGTGTTGAAGTCTGTGTCAAGTTGCCCAGGAGCGATTTCTCGCTACTCTGCAAATGCCTGTCATGGTCCACCGGTGCAGGACCCAAAGCCCTTCGCGCCGCGCCTGCGTCTGCCGCAGCAGATTGCAAGTGTGCAGCACCCAGCTTCCACATGTCCCCGTGTGGTTGGTGAAATTGTTCTGCCTGGTGTCAAGTTGTGCTGGAACTGGTGTTATTTGATCTGAGCTACGGGTGTTCGGGTGCAGCAAAGACTCCCAGCTTTGGCAAGCTCACTAATCTCTAACAGCTACATCTTGCTAAACGGCATGTGCTTGATCATGTCGCCCAAGAAGCCCTGAACGCAAGGAAGTATGGGGCATCTCTGTCCACAGACAGCACGTCGCATGCTTGCAGAGCTGCAGCACTCTAAACAAGTAGATTTCCTCAGCAAAGGTGTAACAGTGTGACCCCCCCAACAGTGGGTCTCCCTGCAAGGGGCAGAGGTGTGGGGGGGGGGGCAGGTTCAGCTGAGGTGGTTTAGGAGGAGTTTTAGATCGCTACCTTGCCACATTGCTTAACACACTTCAGGAGGACCACATCACATAGACCCCACTGAACCACACAAGGAACCCTCTTAATTATGTACTGAGGAAGATTCCTGAAGCCATACACGGGAGCCCTCTGATATACCAAGAAATGTTCCTAAGTTAAGGGGGCTTGGAGTCCCTAATAACCCTATATCCCCCTTGGTTTTTTGTTTTTGTTCATATAAAGCCCAAGAGGATATTAAAGATATCATTTGCTTCAAGGCTCTAAGGGGGGGTATAACCCCTCCGAAGGGAAGATTCGTGTTGCCCGTGAAGGTCCTCATGGCCGTCAGCGATGCCGAGTCGGGAGGCGGCTGGTGGAACGGAAGCTGTTTTTTGTTTAGGGTTTAGGGTTTCTAGAGTTTAGGGTTTAAGGTTATGTAGGGTGTAGGGTTTTTTTTTTCTCCTAGTTTAGACTTCAGGGTTTATAGGGTGTACGCAGTTGCCCGCCGCAAGCCCACCTCGAGGAAGGCTCTTGCGAGGGTTGCGCCGACCTCCGGAGCCCTCCAATAGAGTTGAAAGGGTTCTTAAGGGAGGGGGTCTCAAGGGAGGTAGCTACCTGGGGAACCTTGCGTAGGCAAGCTTCGGAACCCTTCAAGAGTCCCTAACCACCGACATCCACTTGTTAGCAAGGGTGTTTCGGAGCAGGTCATGCTTAAGCCATGCTTAACTCAAATCAATACGCAGCAGGGTTTGCCTGCCAAGGCACCTTGCTTGATCGATGTTTCTTGCTGGCCGGTCGGGCTTACATTGCGCTGAGACGTTCTATGCCTCTGAGCTGTGGCAGCAGTTTAGGGTTGACCATTGCCAAGCTCCTAAGGTATACCTGGACGAACACAGTGGAAAAGATCATGTATAGTACATCGTACAGGATCATTCATATAAAACCGGCATCATATACATAAATAAGTAAATAAATATATTAATCAAGATATGTATGTACATGTATACGTAGATGTATATATATATATATATAAACATGTATACATATATATATATATATATGTGTGTGTATATGTATGTATGTATGCAGGTACGTATGTATGTATGTACTGTGCGTGTGATATAACATGCTGCATATGGTATGCTTCATATAGTATGCATTTTTTCGTGCATTATAGGTATGCATGCCTGGATCTCATTGTCTAGTGCAAAGGAAGGACCTACAGATGTAATATGTATGTATGTATGTACGTATGTATGTATGTATGTGCATCTACGCTTCAATATATTATTGCAAGATGTCCTACTCCAAGATAAAGCAACAGCACACACACACACAGATATATATATATATATATATATATACATTCACACACACACACACATATATATATATATACAACTGTGTGTATGTATGGACGTAAAATACATGATCAATAATAATACACGTACTATATATCTATATCTATATCTATATCTATATCTATGTATATATATATATATATATATTGTACAGTCGCTTTTGTAATCATTCGTCTGTGCATTTTCTTCGCTCATCCGAGGTGGGTGTCGCTCTTGAGGGTCACGGGCCAGGGAGGCGGTGCAGGTTGTGCGCGGCTGCGTGCAGACGCGAATGCAGCTGTCGTCGTTGTGACGGCCGCTTCGTTAGCATTATCACCTCCTCCATGGTTTCCAAACTTTGGAGCACTTCGACGTCAGAGATAGTTGCTGAGGGTTGTTTCTTCTTGAGCGTCCGAGCAAGTAGCATCATCTTCAGCATATGGGAGTACATATGGAGGCGCCCGATGTGCTGCATGTGCGTCCGTCACCACTCAAGCTGCGTCCTTCACGCTCCAAAGCCGCATCTTGCCCGTGCTAGAGCCTTGCGAGCACGTTGCCATGGCCGCACCCTTCGAGGCTGTCCACCCGGAGTCCGATGCAGAGGCGAAGACCTCTCCCCCGAGCTCCCGTGGCTGGATGAAGAAGACAGCACTTGTGGCAACGCTGGGCCTGGGCGTCGTGGCTTTCCTGGCCATGCCGGGCGCAAAGAAGTGTCAATCCTTGGATTTCGGTGCCTTCCAGGGAAAGTCCTCCTTGGGCGTGGATGCGCAGATGGCCCTGAAGGCCGACGCTCTGAAGAGCGTGAAGAAGCGCTCCCTGGCGGAGAAGATCGTCATGAAGGCCATGAGGAGCACTGGCCACAAGTATTCTCAGCACTACGAGCAGCATGAGGTGCGGTCTTTGCCAGCAGATCCGGCGGATGCCGCGAGACAGATGCTGACCAAGGACGAGATCATCGCCTACAAGAAGCAGAAGAATGCAGACCGTATGCGCAAGGCCACCAACGCCTACTGTGCTTTCAACGTTCTGGAGGCTTTTGTGTCGGTGGTTGGCATGGGCGACGACATCAACGCCATCATCAGGACCTGCCCTGCTCCCCGAGATGGCGAGTCGGAGCTCGCATGCCAAGTGAACGGTGCCATTTTGGTGACCTGGGTGGCCAATGCTGCGGCGAAGCTCTCTTACGCCGCCTCGAACTGCGCCCTCAATCTCAACGTGGATGCAGTGTGTTCCGTGGGCGTGACCGGCCTTGTCTCCGTGATGGGTGAGCTGGCAGCGACCGCTTCCCTGGCTGCGGCCACGTGCACGGGTGTCCCGCCACAGCTGACCACCAGCAAGATCAGCGTCCTCGGCGACCAGACCGTGCGGGATGGACGACGACTGCTCATCGGTGAGGGTCCGATTGGCGTGGGCGTGCAGTGCGGGGTTGACGTCGGCATGGTGGTCGCCAACCTTGCCAACATGGGCCTTTCCATCAACTCCGCGGTGAACAGCGGCCAATGCGGCCGCGTCAACCTCGACGGGCCCATCAACAAGGTCGGCGGGCTTAGTTGATCTCAGTTGCAATGTATGCCACAATGTATGCCAATGCTTGTCCCCCCCCCCCCCCACACGGAGAGACACAGAGGCGTGCTGCTAAATTATTAGGCGCAAAACTGGCACAAACATGCGTTCGCATCGCCGCTGGTGCATGGTGGCACAGCTTGCAGATGTAAGGTCTCCGGCCTCTACAGCGCACTGTGTACGGTGGACATCGGCGGTGCGATCGCCTACATGAGCCAGGTGGTCACATTCATCAACTTGATTGTGGTCCATTGCCAGGACTTCTTGGACGTGAGCGCGCTCTGTGGCGCAAGCATCTCCGGCATCATCACTGCTGCGGCCGCCATGGCCCCTTATGGTGCCGCAGTGCATGCGGCCTGCGCCAAGGGCAGCATCCTCAAGAACCCCAAGAAGGCGGAGGCCATCAGCAGCCTCTACACGGTGCCCACGCCCCGCCGCTTGGAGGAGCTGAAGCAGCTGAATGCGGTCAAGGATGCCATGGCCAACCTCAAGGACCTCCGACAGCAGTTGGAGGCCAAGCTTGGCTTCAACGCTTCGGTGCCGACCATGTACTCCGAGGCGAACATGGAGCAGATGATCCAACTCATGGACGACGGCGTGGGTGACAACACCGAGAAGTCCATGCGCGGGTCCCCGGTCTTCTCCGAGGAAGAGTGCGACGAGTAGACTTGAGGAGCTTCAAGTAAATTACGGCTATGGACGTTGGCAATGTCTGCGTTCATAGGCTTCCACAAGAGCTTACCAGCCCTTGAAGCATGCAGCCTTTCTGATCTCTTGTTTCTTTTTGGCCACATTGACTTGATGTGAAGGCGTCTGGCGCAGTCTCGAAGTTTTAGATACGTCCGTGGTGCTGCCCGAAAGCGGCAGCGTTTCGCCGAGCACCGGGTATATGTCCTGAAATGGCATGCCCACCGTGCTCACCAGCGCACTGTCTATCATTCGACTTGCCACCCCTGTTGTTCTGCAAGCTATAGAATATAATTACATCTGACAGTCGGAGGATGACTTGCTCTTCACCTCTTCCAGCGAAGACAAGCTTCGCAAGGGGGTCGGCAAGTTGGAGACGGCAGGGAGCAAAAAAGAGCTTTTGCACGCATGTGCACGCTCTCAAAACCGGTTGAAACCGTTGACGTCCATTGAAAACGCTTGCACACGTCCCGCAAAGACAGCGCTTAGCTTGAAGCTGATCAAAACCAAACCCTCAAGCATGCGTGTCATGCATTTTTCCTTTTGACTAAACTGTTTGTTTATGGCGGAGAGGCTTGCGCTTGACTAGACTGCCTGTGGCGACTCGCAGCAGCGCCTTTGCTCGAGCCGCATCTCGCCCACTCCAAAGCCGCATAGTGCCCGTCCTGGAGCTTGCGAGCACGTTGCCATGGCCGCACCTTTCGAAGCTGTCCACTTGGAGTCCGATGCAGAGGCGAAGACCTCTCCCCCGAGCTCCCGTGGCTGGATGAAGAAGACAGCACTTGTGGCAACGCTGGGCCTGGGCGTCGTGGCTTTCCTGGCCATGCCGGGTGCAAAGAAGTGTCAATCCTTGGATTTCGGTGCCTTCCAGGGAAAGTCCTCCTTGGGCGTGGATGCGCAGATGGCCCTGAAGGCCGACGCTCTGAAGAGCGTGAAGAAGCGCTCCCTGGCGGAGAAGATCGTCATGAAGGCCATGAGGAGCACTGGCCACAAGTATTCTCAGCACTACGAGCAGCATGAGGTGCGGTCTTTGCCAGCAGATCCGGCGGATGCCGCGAGACAGATGCTGACCAAGGACGAGATCATCGCCTACAAGAAGCAGAAGAATGCAGACCGTATGCGCAAGGCCACCAACGCCTACTGTGCTTTCAACGTTCTGGAGGCTTTTGTGTCGGTGGTTGGCATGGGCGACGACATCAACGCCATCATCAGGACCTGCCCTGCTCCCCGAGATGGCGAGTCGGAGCTCGCATGCCAAGTGAACGGTGCCATTTTGGTGACCTGGGTGGCCAATGCTGCGGCGAAGCTCTCTTACGCCGCCTCGAACTGCGCCCTCAATCTCAATGTGGATGCAGTGTGTTCCGTTGGCGTGACCGGCCTTGTCTCCGTGATGGGTGAGCTGGCAGCGACCGCTTCCCTGGCTGCGGCCACGTGCACGGGGGTCCCGCCGCAGCTGACCACCAGCAAGATCAGCGTCCTTGGCGACCAGACCGTGCGGGATGGACGACGACTGCTCATCGGTGAGGGCCCGATTGGCGTGGGCGTGCAGTGCGGGGTTGACGTCGGCATGGTGGTCGCCAACCTTGCCAACATGGGCCTTTCCATCAACTCCGCGGTGAACAGCGGCCAATGCGGCCGCGTCAACCTCGACGGGCCCATCAACAAGGTCGGCGGGCTTAGTTGATCTCAGTTGCAATGTATGCCACAATGTATGCCAATGCTTGTCCCCCCCCCCCCCCACACGGAGAGACACAGAGGCGTGCTGCTAAATTATTAGGCGCAAAACTGGCACAAACATGCGTTCGCATCGCCGCTGGTGCATGGTGGCACAGCTTGCAGATGTAAGGTCTCCGGCCTCTACAGCGCACTGTGTACGGTGGACATCGGCGGTGCGATCGCCTACATGAGCCAGGTGGTCACATTCATCAACTTGATTGTGGTCCATTGCCAGGACTTCTTGGACGTGAGCGCGCTCTGTGGCGCAAGCATCTCCGGCATCATCACTGCTGCGGCCGCCATGGCCCCTTATGGTGCCGCAGTGCATGCGGCCTGCGCCAAGGGCAGCATCCTCAAGAACCCCAAGAAGGCGGAGGCGATCAGCAGCCTCTACACGGTGCCCACGCCCCGCCGCTTGGAGGAGCTGAAGCAGCTGAATGCGGTCAAGGATGCCATGGCCAACCTCAAGGACCTCCGACAGCAGTTGGAGGCCAAGCTTGGCTTCAACGCTTCGGTGCCGACCATGTACTCCGAGGCGAACATGGAGCAGATGATCCAACTCATGGACGACGGCGTGGGTGACAACACCGAGAAGTCCATGCGCGGGTCCCCGGTCTTCTCCGAGGAAGAGTGCGACGAGTAGACTTGAGGAGCTTCAAGTAAATTACGGCTATGGACGTTGGCAATGTCTGCGTTCATAGGCTTCCACAAGAGCTTACCAGCCCTTGAAGCATGCAGCCTTTCTGATCTCTTGTTCATTTTTGGCCACATTGACTTGATGTGAAGGCGTCTGGCGCAGTCTCGAAGTTTTAGATACGTCCGTGGTGCTGCCCGAAAGCGGCAGCGTTTCGCCGAGCACCGGGTATATGTCCTGAAATGGCATGCCCACCGTGCTCACCAGCGCACTGTCTATCATTCGACTTGCCACCCCTGTTGTTTTGCAAGCTATAGAATACAATTGCATCTGACAGTCGGAGGATGACTTGCTCTTCACCTCTTCCAGCGAAGACAAGCTTCGCAAGGGGGTCGGCAAGTTGGAGACGGCAGGGAGCAAAAACAAAGCTTTTGCACGCATGTGCACGCTGACGTCCATTGAAAACGCTTGCACACGTCCTGCGTAGACAGCGCTTAGCTTGAAGCTGATCAAACCCAAACCCTCAAGCATGCGTGTCATGCATTTTTCCTTTTGACTAAACTGTTTGTTTATGGCGGAGAGGCTTGCGCTTGACTCGACTGCCTGTGCCGACTCGCAGCAGCGCCTTTGCTCGAGCCGCATCTCGCCCACTCCAAAGCCGCACATTGCCCGTCCTGGAGCTTGCGAGCACGTTGCCATGGCCGCACCTTTCGAAGCTGTCCACTTGGAGTCCGATGCAGAGGCGAAGACCTCTCCCCCGAGCTCCCGTGGCTGGATGAAGAAGACAGCAATTGTGGCAACGCTGGGCCTGGGCGTCGTGGCTTTTCTGGCCATGCCGGGCGCAAAGAAGTGTCAATCCTTGGATTTCGGTGCCTTCCAGGGAAAGTCCTCCTTGGGCGTCGATGCGCAGATGGCCCTGAAGGCCGACGCTCTGAAGAGCGTGAAGAAGCGCTCCCTGGCGGAGAAGATCGTCATGAAGGCCATGAGGAGCACTGGCCACAAGTATTCTCAGCACTACGAGCAGCATGAGGTGCGGTCTTTGCCAGCAGATCCGGCGGATGCCGCGAGACAGATGCTGACCAAGGACGAGATCATCGCCTACAAGAAGCAGAAGAATGCAGACCGCATGCGCAAGGCCACCAACGCCTACTGTGCTTTCAACGTTCTGGAGGCTTTTGTGTCGGTGGTTGGCATGGGCGACGACATCAACGCCATCATCAGGACCTGCCCTGCTCCCCGAGATGGCGAGTCGGAGCTCGCATGCCAAGTGAACGGTGCCATTTTGGTGACCTGGGTGGCCAATGCTGCGGCGAAGCTCTCTTACGCCGCCTCGAACTGCGCCCTCAATCTCAACGTGGATGCAGTGTGTTCCGTGGGCGTGACCGGCCTTGTCTCCGTGATGGGTGAGCTGGCAGCGACCGCTTCCCTGGCTGCGGCCACGTGCACGGGGGTCCCGCCGCAGCTGACCACCAGCAAGATCAGCGTCCTCGGCGACCAGACCGTGCGGGATGGACGACGACTGCTCATCGGTGAGGGTCCGATTGGCGTGGGTGTGCAGTGCGGGGTTGACGTCGGCATGGTGGTCGCCAACCTTGCCAACATGGGCCTTTCCATCAACTCCGCTGTTAACAGCGGCCAATGTGGCCGCGTCAACCTCGACGGGCCCATCAACAAGGTCGGCGGGCTTAGTGGATCTCAGTTGAAACGTATGCCACAATGTATACCAATGCTTGCCCGCCCCCCCCCCCCCATCCACCACACGGAGAGACACGGAGGCATACTGCTAAATTGTTAGGCGCAAAACTGGCACAAACATGCGTTCGCGTCGCCGCTGGTGCATGGTGGCACAGCTTGCAGATGTAAGGTCTCCGGCCTCTACAGCGCGCTGTGTACGGTGGACATCGGCGGTGCGATCGCCTACATGAGCCAGGTGGTCACATTCATCAACTTGATTGTGGTCCATTGCCAGGACTTCTTGGACGTGAGCGCGCTCTGCGGCGCAAGCATCTCCGGCATCATCACCGCTGCGGCCGCCATGGCCCCTTATGGTGCCGCGGTGCATGCGGCCTGCGCCAAGGGCAGCATCCTCAAGAACCCCAAGAAGGCGGAGGCCATCAGCAGCCTCTACACGGTGCCCACGCCCCGCCGCTTGGAGGAGCTGAAGCAGCTGAATGCGGTCAAGGATGCCATGGCCAACCTCAAGGACCTCCGACAGCAGTTGGAGGCCAAGCTTGGCTTCAACGCTTCGGTGCCGACCATGTACTCCGAGGCGAACATGGAGCAGATGATCCAACTCATGGACGACGGCGTGGGTGACAACACCGAGAAGTCCATGCGCGGGTCCCCGGTCTTCTCCGAGGAAGAGTGCGACGAGTAGACTTGAGGAGCTTCAAGTAAATTACGGCTATGGACGTTGGCAATGTCTGCGTTCATAGGCTTCCACAAGAGCTTACCAGCCCTTGAAGCATGCAGCCTTTCTGATCTCTTGTTCATTTTTGGCCACATTGACTTGATGTGAAGGCGTCTGGCGCAGTCTCGAAGTTTTAGATACGTCCGTGGTGCTGCCCGAAAGCGGCAGCGTTTCGCCGAGCACCGGGTATATGTCCTGAAATGGCATGCCCACCGTGCTCACCAGCGCACTGTCTATCATTCGACTTGCCACCCCTGTTGTTCTGCAAGCTATAGAATATAATTACATCTGACAGTCGGAGGATGACTTGCTCTTCACCTCGTCCAGCGAAGACAAGCTTCGCAAGTCGGCAAGTTGGAGACGGCAGGGAGCAAAAACAGAGCTTTTGCACACATGTGCACGCTCTCAAAACCGCTTGCACACGTCCTGCGTAGACAGCGCTTAGCTTGAAGCTGATCAAAACCAAACCCTCAAAACACACAGCTGTCGCAAGGCGTGTCGTGCAAAGTTTGCTTGTGACTAAACTGATTCTTTGTTTATGGCGGGGAGGCTTATGCTTGCCTGACCAGATTGCCGGTGGCAACTCGCAGCAGCGCCATTGCTCAAGCCGCATCTTGCCCGCTCCAAAGCCGCATCTTGCCCATCCTAGAGGTCCTAGAGCCTGCGAGTAAGTTGCTATGGCCACACCCTTCGAAGCTGTCCACTTGGAGTCCGAAGCAGAGGCGAAGACCTCTCCCCCGAGCTCCCGTGGCTGGATGAAGAAGACAGCAATTGTGGCAACGTTGGGCCTGGGCGTCGTGGCTTTTCTGGCCATGCCGGGCGCAAAGAAGTGTCAATCCTTGGATTTCGGTGCCTTCCAGGGAAAGTCCTCCTTGGGCGTGGATGCACAGATGGTCCTGAAGGCCGACGCTCTGAAGAGCGTGAAGAAGCGCTCCCTGGCGGAGAAGATCGTCATGAAGGCCATGAGGAGCACTGGCCACAAGTATTCTCAGCACTACGAGCAGCATGAGGTGCGGTCTTTGCCAGCAGATCCGGCGGATGCCGCGAGACAGATGCTGACCAAGGACGAGATCATCGCCTACAAGAAGCAGAAGAATGCAGACCGCATGCGCAAGGCCACCAACGCCTACTGTGCTTTCAACGTTCTGGAGGCTTTTGTGTCGGTGGTTGGCATGGGCGACGACATCAACGCCATCATCAGGACCTGCCCTGCTCCCCGAGATGGCGAGTCGGAGCTCGCATGCCAAGTGAACGGTGCCATTTTGGTGACCTGGGTGGCCAATGCTGCGGCGAAGCTCTCTTACGCCGCCTCGAACTGCGCCCTCAATCTCAACGTGGATGCAGTGTTCCGTGGGCGTGACCGGCCTTGTCTCCGTGATGGGTGAGCTGGCAGCGACCGCTTCCCTGGCTGCGGCCACGTGCACGGGGGTACCGCCACAGCTGACCACCAGCAAGATCAGCGTCCTCGGCGACCAGACCGTGCGGGATGGACGACGACTGCTCATCGGTGAGGGTCCGATTGGCGTGGGCGTGCAGTGCGGGGTTGACGTCGGCATGGTGGTCGCCAACCTTGCCAACATGGGCCTTTCCATCAACTCCGCGGTGAACAGCGGCCAATGCGGCCGCGTCAACCTTGACGGGCCCATCAACAAGGTCGGCGGGCTTAGTTGATCTCAGTTGAAACGTATGCCACAATGTATGCCAGTGCTTGTCCGGCCCCCCCGGCCCCAGCGGAGGGACATGAGGCATGCTGCTACATGTTTAGGCACAAACATGCGTGCGCGTCAATGCTGGTGCATGGTGGCACAGCTTGCAGACAGCTTGCAGATGCATAGGTCTCCGGCCTCTACAGCGCACTGTGTACGGTGGACATCGGCGGTGCGATCGCCTACATGAGCCAGGTGGTCACATTCATCAACTTGATTGTGGTCCATTGCCAGGACTTCTTGGACGTGAGCGCGCTCTGCGGCGCAAGCATCTCCGGCATCATCACTGCTGCGGCCGCCATGGCCCCTTATGGTGCCGCAGTGCATGCGGCCTGCGCCAAGGGCAGCATCCTCAAGAACCCCAAGAAGGCGGAGGCCATCAGCAGCCTCTACACGGTGCCCACGCCCCGCCGCTTGGAGGAGCTGAAGCAGCTGAATGCGGTCAAGGATGCCATGGCCAACCTCAAGGACCTCCGACAGCAGTTGGAGGCCAAGCTTGGCTTCAACGCTTCGGTGCCGACCATGTACTCCGAGGCGAACATGGAGCAGATGATCCAACTCATGGACGACGGCGTCAGCGACAACATCGAGAAGTCCATGCGCGGGTCCCCGGTCTTCTCCGAGGAAGAGTGCGAGGAGTAGGCACAGTGAAGGCACCCTATATGAAACAAGATAGTTATGCATGCGTTCTTGCGGCTACGGACGTTAGCAATGTCTGCGTTCAATAGCCTGTAGAGAGCCCCTGAAAGATGTCAGTCCGGCTTCTCGAAGCCCAAGGCGGTCACTCTTGGGCTATTTCCTTACTTCTCCAACAACTGAACTTCAAACTTTTTGGGTCTCCTTATTTAGTAGGAATCATAAAGTTTAACTTTTTTCGGTTATTGGAGAAGTAAGTTTCAGCCCTTCACACAAAGTAGGCGTGAGATGGGCAAGGCAAGTTTGCTAACAAGGCGATCCTATCAAGTTTGGGAGGCGTGACCTGCGCACCCAGTGGCCAGGCACGCACGCCACCGGCTCTTGCATCGCTTGTTACCTCCCAATGCCTCCTACCTGTTTAGGGTTTAGGGATGTGTAGGGTGTAGGGTGTAGGGCCCAGATGGAAACAAAAGGGTGTAGGGTGTATGGTGTCCTGGGTTTAGGGGCATTCTTGAGAGACACTTTGCCCACGAAGTGCAACAGGCATGAGGTTGGGAGGACGAGCGGATTCCCAATTTGACTTGACCTCACTGAGAGTTGACCGATCTTCTTGTGGAGCATATGAAAGCGCGTTTCTGGCTAGGGTAGGGGTTACTTGTTCGCGTATTTGTTCCGGTTTTATTTTCGGAGGCTACGCAGAAAGGAAAGGAAGTGTGTCTGATGAAGAAGGGAATAAAAGGACGAAGACGGGAATAAAAGGACGTAATCTAAAGAAAAGAAGAAGAAGAGCTCCTAAACTCCAAGGTCGAATAAACAGTGCAAAGACAGCACCCACGGAAACTAGGAGAAACAAAGCCTTGCTCTTGAGATTTCGGCGATGCGCGACTATCTGACCTTTAGTCCTTCAAGACATCGCCCTTTTTCTGGGTACGTACCCGAAATCTTAAGGCCCAGAATACTATGAACAATGGGCAACCCAAGAGAAAGACCCTAATCTGCTGTATCTACTGTATCTAATTACCACATGTAGAAGGCCGCCGGGCGAGACACAATGGCTACTGCAAGGGCGAGTCCGACAGCATCTGTCGAAACCTTTAAGATGTTAATCCCAGGCAAACTACAAATAATGCCCCTCAAACTCGTCAACCGGACATTTCCCATAGGGGCACCATGGGGTATACCGGTATACCATAGAATATCCCGGAACCCCGCAGAGGGATACCCTGCAAAAGGGACCCCCACGTCAATCCCAAACCGAGCCATCCCAAAAAAAGCCTGAGTCTGAGCACAGCTTTTTCCCCACCCTACGCGCTTAAGCCCAAAGCCCGATAGACCCTACTCGTATCTCCCAACCCCAGGCCCCAAGCTCAGCAAACCCACCCTAAGTCCCAAAGTCTGAAACCAAGCTCCAGACCCTCAGTACTACCCTCAATACTCAGTAAGGGCCCGAGGGTACCCTAGTAGGGGTATCAAGCGTGCCAATTCAAGTAAACTCTTGCTGCACCAGCACCCCATGGCCCCCCTATGGTGCTTCGTAGGATTTGTAGGTGGGGGGGCAGCGGGGGCCAGCGTGGAGCGTGGAGGCATAGAGCAAGCCAAGTAAAAGCCCTGCAAAGCCCTAAAAAACAACCTGCAAAAAGCCCTAGACAAACCCTGCAGCCCCCTACTCAACATCCTAAACCCTAAACCCTAAACCCTAAACCCTAAACCCTAAACCCTAAACCCTAAACCCACAAAGCTCCAAGGATCGGCTCCGTAGCGATCTGGGCAGCCACGGCGAGGAGGAGGCAGCCTCTGAGTTCCTCATGGCCACGGACCTGGTCCTTTTTTTCTTCTTTGTGGCCCATGTTTAGGGTTTAGGGTTTGGGGTTTGGGGTTGGGGGTTAAAAAGGGTTTTAGGATTCAGGCCTTGGGGTATGTTTTGGGGGTGTACTTGTGTGTGCGCCGGGTGAATTTCTGCAAGCTGTGGGTTGCACGGGAGGGTTGCGGGCTTGAAGGCTGTGGCCCCAGTCTTCCCGTCTCGGGGGGGGGGGGGATCCGATTGCCCAGAACAGGGGCAGCGAATCTCCAACGTGATGCTGGCTGGTGGAACAGTCTTCTCATCGCAGTTACTTGTAAGGTCCTGACAGAAAGCACAGAGGCGCTGTACCCAGCCGCTTGGCTGTATTGACATGAGTCAGGAGCGTGGAAAGGAGAATCGCAGGGCGTGGGTTCTGTCAGGGCGAATCAAAATCCCTTGCTGTGTGGAAGTCCACCTGACATCAACCAGTGCAAGAGGGCCCGACCTAGGTTCTTACCGACAAGGTTCACCAGCTCGGCTTGTTCTGGAAGTGAGTGGGGTCCCCTTTGAACTTCACCTAGCCGACCTGTGTCTAAAGTGAGAGATGGTTGGATACGCTTCAGGCTTGCCGTGTCCTGCGGGCCATAGCTGGCTAGACTCAACTTCATAAGCAAAAAATAAGCTAGGCACTCACGATCCAGAAATGCCGAAGGCTTGAATTACAAGGCAGTTTAAGAGGGTTTAGGGTTTAGGGTTTAGGGTTATTGCAAGGCAGTATTAAGGAACATGGATGGACAAGGCTATTCAGGTCACAGGTGGCATGGAGCAACGGTGCGTGGTACAAACCCAGATCCAAAGACTGGGTTGTACCCTAAACCCTAAACCCTAAACCCTAAACCCTAAGGCCCTAAACCCTAAACCCTAATCCGTTGCCAATGGCTTAGGGGCCAATGGCCGATTGATTCAGCTCTGTTTCACTCTGTTTCGCTCGGCACGCATCTGGACTCCAGACCAGACGCGTAGCATCCTGCAGTTATCCACAAAAGCCGTGAAGCTGCTTGTTGACTCCACCACATGCGATTTGACAACTGCATGCGGCTCATTGTCTACGTAGACAAATAGCTGTCACTGGTGCAGCAGCAAACGCTTTGGCACAACAACAGCTCAATCATGCCTAGTCCGCCGGAGATGAATCCGAATCCATGATGTCGAGCCGGCCCCCGCTCTGCTTTGAACACCCACCACGCAGCTGAGTTCCTTATGCTGCAACGCATCTTAATGGCCCGTGCCGCTTGTGACACTTGTGGGTAGAATGTTTCTTGCCCTCCCCGCCATCCTGTCACAAGGGTGTTGGAAAAAATTGAGAGGTAATTATCAAGACGAAGCGTTCCCAGTCTACAGGAAAGCAAGCATGCGCGAAAGTGCATAGGGACGTAAAGAAGAAATAAGACAGCTGACCCCTGTTTGATGGCTCAGACTAGAGAAGTAATTTGATTCCGCATGTGCAGGCATTTTTACCGACTCGGTAGCTGCGAATGTGTTCTGCAGAGACAGTAAAGAGTTCAGGTTTCGGGTTAGGTGGATGAGATGGCGTCGCAGATCAGTGGCAAGTAACATGCCTTGCACGTGCGATCGGCCGGTTGCACCCGACATTGCCATAGTGCCGTCATGATGGTTTGCGACTCTTCTTGTCATCTGACCCTGAGCCTCATGATTTTTTGTTTAGGCCATATTCGTTTCCCACCACCTACCAGAATCTACCAGAGTCAACGATATTAGTTTTGCATAGTGTTGCTGCCTGGCCTGCGCTGTCTGTCACCGCTCAAGCTGCATCTCGCCTGCTCCAAAGCCGCCCGTCCTAGAGCTTGCGAGCACGTTGCCATGGCCGCACCTTTCGAGGCTGTCCACCTGGAGTCCGATGCAGAGGCGAAGACCTCTCCCCCGAGCTCCCGTGGCTGGATCAAGAAGACAGCAATTGTGGTAACGCTGGGCCTGGGCGTGGTGGCTTTTCTGGCCATGCCGGGTGCAAAGAAGTGTCAATCCTTGGATTTCGGTGCCTTCCAGGGAAAGTCCTCCTTGGGCGTGGATGCGCAGATGGCCCTGAAGGCCGACGCTCTGAAGAGCGTGAAGAAGCGCTCCCTGGCGGAGAAGATCGTCATGAAGGCCATGAGGAGCACTGGCCACAAGTATTCTCAGCACTACGAGCAGCATGAGGTGCGGTCTTTGCCAGCAGATCCGGCGGATGCCGCGAGACAGATGCTGACCAAGGACGAGATCATCGCCTACAAGAAGCAGAAGAATGCAGACCGCATGCGCAAGGCCACCAACGCCTACTGTGCTTTCAACGTTCTGGAGGCTTTTGTGTCGGTGGTTGGCATGGGCGACGACATCAACGCCATCATCAGGACCTGCCCTGCTCCCCGAGATGGCGAGTCGGAGCTCGCATGCCAAGTGAACGGTGCCATTCTGGTGACCTGGGTGGCCAATGCTGCGGCGAAGCTCTCTTACGCCGCCTCGAACTGCGCCCTCAATCTCAACGTGGATGCAGTGTGTTCTGTGGGCGTGACCGGCCTTGTCTCCGTGATGGGCGAGCTGGCAGCGACCGCTTCCCTGGCTGCGGCCACGTGCACGGGGGTACCGCCACAGCTGACCACCAGCAAGATCAGCGTCCTCGGCGACCAGACCGTGCGGGATGGACGACGCCTGCTCATCGGTGAGGGTCCGATTGGCGTGGGCGTGCAGTGCGGGGTTGACGTCGGCATGGTGGTCGCCAACCTTGCCAACATGGGCCTTTCCATCAACTCGGCGGTGAACAGCGGCCAATGCGGCCGCGTCAACCTCGACGGGCCCATCAACAAGGTCGGCGGGCTTACTGTAGTGGATCTCCATTAGTTCTCCATTGAAATATTATGCCATTGCTTGTCCGGCCCCCCTGGCCCCACCCCGCGGAGAGACACGCTAAGTAGCAAAACTGGCACAAACATGTGTTCGCGTCGCCGCTGGTGCATGTCTGGCACAGCTTCGATGTAAGGTCTCCGGCCTCTACAGCGCACTGTGTACTGTGGACATCGGCGGTGCGATCGCCTACATGAGCCAGGTGGTCACATTCATCAACTTGATTGTGGTCCATTGCCAGGACTTCTTGGACGTGAGCGCGCTCTGTGGCGCAAGCATCTCCGGCATCATCACCGCTGCGGCCGCCATGGCCCCGTATGGTGCCGCGGTGCACGCGGCCTGTGCCAAGGGCAGCATCCTCAAGAACCCCAAGAAGGCGGAGGCGATCAGCAGCCTCTACACGGTGCCCACGCCCCGCCGCTTGGAGGAGCTGAAGCAGCTGAATGCGGTCAAGGATGCCATGGCCAACCTCAAGGACCTCCGACAGCAGTTGGAGGCCAAGCTTGGCTTCAATGCTTCGGTGCCGACCATGTACTCCGAGGCGAACATGGAGCAGATGATCCAACTCATGGACGACGGAGTGGGCGACAACTCCGAGAAGTCCATGCGCGGGTCCCCGGTCTTCTCCGAGGAAGAGTGCGACGAGTAGACTTGAATCCCCAAGGCAGGAGCTTCAACAGTATATGATTGCGGCTATGGACGTTGGCAATGTCTGCGTTCATGGGCTTCAAGAAGACCTAGATTGGAGCCAGGTTGGAGCAAGCAGCCTCTTTCCCGCTGCTTGATTTCTTTCGGACACATCGACAAAGTGTAGGTGTGAAATCGTTTTTTTTTGCGCAGTCCCGCGCGCGGCAGCATTACGCTGCATGCCGGGTATCAACTGAAATTCATCAGCTCATCATCCATCATTCCACCTGCAGTTACCGTGTTAGGTTTGATGTGGTTTGCAGGCTGCAACATACATCTGACAGTGGGGGGATGAGCTGCTCTTCATCTTGTCTGGCCAGCGAAGACAGGATTCGCAAGGTCGGCAAGTTGGAGACGGCATCATGTGGATCAGAGTTTGACAATTTTGGAAACGTGGTCTGCCTGCTCACACAGGTACGTACCACTGAAGCCCATCGCCTCCCACCGTGTGTGCCGAATGCTTTGCACTTGTTTGCAAGAGGGAGTGGACTTGATGCGCATATATAGTGTACCAAATACGAAGGTGGAAGGGCGGGTTTTGCCCTGGCCTCACCAGCGGGCTGGGTGTGAAATCATGTGGAATCCATCTATCGAGAGCGTGAGACTGGCGAACTCGCCATCAGGATCTAAGGCCGCGTTGTGAATTTCAAAGCCGCAGCACAGTCTCCATCCTCTCAAACCCAGGGGTGGCTCCATCTGCCTGTGCCCGGGAGCTAAAAGAGTTTGCGGCTCCGTGCGGGATGTTTGCACATGGTGGGAGACACTGACATGCACTGGGAGGCAGGCAAGGCGAGTCGAGTTATGGCGTGGACCTCCCTTCATTTTGATCTATAGGTCCTAGGTTTTGAAGAAGTTTCTTTTGCTTTGGCAAAAAGCGTTACGGCTACGGGTTTGGGCGATTCGAGGGTCGTCAAGGGTCATGGGCTCTGGTGATGTTTCCTGTCGACCAAACCCTCAAGGCACACAATTATCGCAGGTCGTGTCATGAAAATTTTTGCCTGCTACTAAACTCGTTCTTTATTTTTGGCGGAGAGGTTTGCGCTTGACTAGACTGCCTGTGGCGACCCGCAGCAGCGCCTTTGCTCGAGCCGCATCTCGCCCATTCAAAAGACGCCTAGTGCCGTCCTAGAGCCATGGCCGCACCTTTCGAGGCTGTCCACCCGGAGTCCGATGCAGAGGCGAAGACCTCTCCCCCGAGCTCCCGTGGCTGGATGAAGAAGACAGCAATTGTGGTAACGCTGGGCCTGGGCGTGGTGGCTTTTCTGGCCATGCCGGGTGCAAAGAAGTGTCAATCCTTGGATTTCGGTGCCTTCCAGGGAAAGTCCTCCTTGGGCGTGGATGCGCAGATGGCCCTGAAGGCCAACGCTCTGAAGAGCGTCAAGAAGCGCTCCCTGGCGGAGAAGATCGTCATGAAGGCCATGAGGAGCACTGGCCACAAGTATTCTCAGCACTACGAGCAGCATGAGGTGCGGTCTTTGCCAGCAGATCCGGCGGATGCCGCGAGACAGATGCTGACCAAGGACGAGATCATCGCCTACAAGAAGCAGAAGAATGCAGACCGCATGCGCAAGGCCACCAACGCCTACTGTGCTTTCAACGTTCTGGAGGCTTTTGTGTCGGTGGTTGGCATGGGCGACGACATCAACGCCATCATCAGGACCTGCCCTGCTCCCCGAGATGGCGAGTCGGAGCTCGCATGCCAAGTGAACGGTGCCATTTTGGTGACCTGGGTGGCCAATGCTGCGGCGAAGCTCTCTTACGCCGCCTCGAACTGCGCCCTCAATCTCAACGTGGATGCAGTGTGTTCCGTGGGCGTGACCGGCCTTGTCTCCGTGATGGGTGAGCTGGCAGCGACCGCTTCCCTGGCTGCGGCCACGTGCACGGGTGTCCCGCCACAGCTGACCACCAGCAAGATCAGCGTCCTCGGCGACCAGACCGTGCGGGATGGACGACGACTGCTCATCGGTGAGGGTCCGATTGGCGTGGGCGTGCAGTGCGGGGTTGACGTCGGCATGGTGGTCGCCAACCTTGCCAACATGGGCCTTTCCATCAACTCGGCGGTGAACAGCGGCCAATGCGGCCGCGTCAACCTCGACGGGCCCATCAACAAGGTCGGCGGGCTTATCCACTCCATTGAAATATTATGCCATTGCTTGTCCGGCCCCCCCGGCCCCACCACGCGGAGAGACACGCTAATTTTGTAGGGCACAAACATGTGCGCGTCGTTGCTGGTGCATTTCTGGCACAGCTTGCAGATGTAAGGTCTCCGGCCTCTACAGCGCACTGTGTACGGTGGACATCGGCGGTGCGATCGCCTACATGAGCCAGGTGGTCACATTCATCAACTTGATTGTGGTCCATTGCCAGGACTTCTTGGACGTGAGCGCGCTCTGTGGCGCAAGCATCTCCGGCATCATCACCGCTGCGGCCGCCATGGCCCCGTATGGTGCCGCGGTGCACGCGGCCTGTGCCAAGGGCAGCATCCTCAAGAACCCCAAGAAGGCGGAGGCGATCAGCAGCCTCTACACGGTGCCCACGCCCCGCCGCTTGGAGGAGCTGAAGCAGCTGAATGCGGTCAAGGATGCCATGGCCAACCTCAAGGACCTCCGACAGCAGTTGGAGGCCAAGCTTGGCTTCAATGCTTCGGTGCCGACCATGTACTCCGAGGCGAACATGGAGCAGATGATCCAACTCATGGACGACGGAGTGGGCGACAACTCCGAGAAGTCCATGCGCGGGTCCCCGGTCTTCTCCGAGGAAGAGTGCGACGAGTAGACTTGAATCCCCAAGGCAGGAGCTTCAACAGTATATGATTGCGGCTATGGACGTTGGCAATGTCTGCGTTCATGGGCTTCAAGAAGACCTAGGTTGGAGCCAGGTTGGAGCAAGCAGCCTTTTTCCCGCTGCTTGGATTCTTTCGGACACATCGACAAAGTGTAGGTGTGAAATCGTTTTTTTTGCGCAGTCCCGCGCGCGGCAGCATTACGCTGCATGCCGGGTATCAACTGAAATTCATCAGCTCATCATCCATCATTCCACCTGCAGTCGCCGTGTTAGGTTTGATGTGGTTTGCAGGCTGCAACATACATCTGACAGTGGGGGGATGAGCTGCTCTTCATCTTGTCTGGCCAGCGAAGACAGGATTCGCAAGGTCGGCAAGTTGGAGACGGCATCATGTGGATCAGAGTTTGACAATTTTGGAAACGTGGTCTGCCTGCTCACACAGGTACGTACCACTGAAGCCCATCGCCTCCCACCGTGTGTGCCGAATGCTTTGCACTTGTTTGCAAGAGGGAGTGGACTTGATGCGCATATATAGTGTACCAAATACGAAGGTGGAAGGGCGGGTTTTGCCCTGGCCTCACCAGCGGGCTGGGTGTGAAATCATGTGAAATCCATCTATCGAGAGCGTGAGACTGGCGAACTCGCCATCAGGATCTAAGGCCGCGTTGTGAATTTCAAAGCCGCGGCACAGTCTCCATCCTCTCAAACCCAGGGGTGGCTCCATCTGCCTGTGCCCGGGAGCTAAAAGAGTTTGCGGCTCCGTGCGGGATGTTTGCACATGGTGGGAGACACTGACATGCACTGGGAGACAGGCAAGGCGAGTTGAGTTATGGCGTGGACCTCCCTTCATTTTGATCTATAGGTCCTAGGTTTTGAAGAAGTTTCTTTTGCTTTGGCAAAAAGCGTTACGGCTACGGGTTTGGGCGATTCAAGGGTCGTCAAGGGTCATGGGCTCTGGTGATGTTTCCACTCGACCAAACCCTCAAGGCACACAATTATCGCAGGTCGTGTCATTAATATTTTTTGCCTGCTACTAAACTGGTTCTTTATTTTTGGCGGAGAGGTTTGCGCTTGACTAGACTGCCTGTGGCGACCCGCAGCAGCGCCTTTGCTCGAGCCGCATCTCGCCCATTCAAAAGACGCCTATAGTGCCGTCCTAGAGCCATGGCCGCACCTTTCGAGGCTGTCCACCCGGAGTCCGATGCAGAGGCGAAGACCTCTCCCCCGAGCTCCCGTGGCTGGATGAAGAAGACAGCAATTGTGGTAACGCTGGGCCTGGGCGTCGTGGCTTTCCTGGCCATGCCGGGTGCAAAGAAGTGTCAATCCTTGGATTTCGGTGCCTTCCAGGGAAAGTCCTCCTTGGGCGTGGATGCGCAGATGGCCCTGAAGGCCGACGCTCTGAAGAGCGTGAAGAAGCGCTCCCTGGCGGAGAAGATCGTCATGAAGGCCATGAGGAGCACTGGCCACAAGTATTCTCAGCACTACGAGCAGCATGAGGTGCGGTCTTTGCCAGCAGATCCGGCGGATGCCGCGCGACAGATGCTGACCAAGGACGAGATCATCGCCTATAAGAAGCAGAAGAATGCAGACCGCATGCGCAAGGCCACCAACGCCTACTGTGCTTTCAACGTTCTGGAGGCTTTTGTGTCGGTGGTTGGCATGGGCGACGACATCAACGCCATCATCAGGACCTGCCCTGCTCCCCGAGATGGCGAGTCGGAGCTCGCATGCCAAGTGAACGGTGCCATTTTGGTGACCTGGGTGGCCAATGCTGCGGCGAAGCTCTCTTACGCCGCCTCGAACTGCGCCCTCAATCTCAATGTGGATGCAGTGTGTTCCGTTGGTGTGACCGGCCTTGTCTCCGTGATGGGTGAGCTGGCAGCGACCGCTTCCCTGGCTGCGGCCACGTGCACGGGGGTCCCGCCGCAGCTGACCACCAGCAAGATCAGCGTCCTCGGCGACCAGACCGTGCGGGATGGACGACGACTGCTCATCGGTGAGGGTCCGATTGGCGTGGGCGTGCAGTGCGGGGTTGACGTCGGCATGGTGGTCGCCAACCTTGCCAACATGGGCCTTTCCATCAACTCGGCGGTGAACAGCGGCCAATGCGGCCGCGTCAACCTCGACGGGCCCATCAACAAGGTCGGCGGGCTTACTGTAGTGGATCTCCATTAGTTCTCCATTGAAATATTATGCCATTGCTTGTCCGGCCCCCCCCGGCCCCACCACGCGGAGAGACACGCTAATTTTTTTAGGCACAAACATGTGCGCGTCGTTGCTGGTGCATTTCTGGCACAGCTTGCAGATGTAAGGTCTCCGGCCTCTACAGCGCACTGTGTACGGTGGACATCGGCGGTGCGATCGCCTACATGAGCCAGGTGGTCACATTCATCAACTTGATTGTGGTCCATTGCCAGGACTTCTTGGACGTGAGCGCGCTCTGTGGCGCAAGCATCTCCGGCATCATCACCGCTGCGGCCGCCATGGCCCCTTATGGTGCCGCGGTGCACGCGGCCTGCGCCAAGGGCAGCATCCTCAAGAACCCCAAGAAGGCGGAGGCGATCAGCAGCCTCTACACGGTGCCCACGCCCCGCCGCTTGGAGGAGCTGAAGCAGCTGAATGCGGTCAAGGATGCCATGGCCAACCTCAAGGACCTCCGACAGCAGTTGGAGGCCAAGCTTGGCTTCAATGCTTCGGTGCCGACCATGTACTCCGAGGCGAACATGGAGCAGATGATCCAACTCATGGACGACGGAGTGGGCGACAACTCCGAGAAGTCCATGCGCGGGTCCCCGGTCTTCTCCGAGGAAGAGTGCGACGAGTAGACTTGAATCCCCAAGGCAGGAGCTTCAACAGTATATGATTGCGGCTATGGACGTTGGCAATGTCTGCGTTCATGGGCTTCAAGAAGACCTAGATTGGAGCCAGGTTGGAGCAAGCAGCCTCTTTCCCGCTGCTTGATTTCTTTCGGACACATCGACAAAGTGTAGGTGTGAAATCGTTTTTTTTTGCGCAGTCCCGCGCGCGGCAGCATTACGCTGCATGCCGGGTATCAACTGAAATTCATCAGCTCATCATCCATCATTCCACCTGCAGTTACCGTGTTAGGTTTGATGTGGTTTGCAGGCTGCAACATACATCTGACAGTGGGGGGATGAGCTGCTCTTCATCTTGTCTGGCCAGCGAAGACAGGATTCGCAAGGTCGGCAAGTTGGAGACGGCATCATGTGGATCAGAGTTTGACAATTTTGGAAACGTGGTCTGCCTGCTCACACAGGTACGTACCACTGAAGCCCATCACCTCCCACCCTGTGTGCCGAATGCTTTGCATTTGTTTGCAAAGGGGGAGTGGACTTGCTGGCACCTGCCCCGCATGCAATGTACCAAACACGAAGGTGGGAGGGCGGGAGGCTTTGCAATTTGCCCTGGCCTCACCAGCGGGCTGGGTGTGAAATCATGCGAAATCCATCTAACGAGAGCGTGAGACTGGCGAACTCGCCATCAGGATCTGAGGCCGCGTTGTGAATTTCAAAGCCGCGGCACAGTCTCCATCCTCTCAAACCCAGGGGTGGCTCCATCTGCCTGTGCCCGGGAGCTAAAAAAATCTGTCCTTCCGTGTGGGATGTTGGCACGTAGCGGGAGACACTCAGGCTTCTGCATACTCACAGCTTGTCCAATCAATGTTGTTCGAAGATCAGTTTCGGGTTTGCAGGTTGGTTAAGGTTCCTGCCTTCTCACAGTGAGGGTCTGAATGCGGATGCAGCAGGCCGCTGCCAGCCATTTCCATCACATCTTGCAGCGTGGTATGCGTGGAGCACCACAAAGCACTTGCAAAGCTTTTGTGAAGCCAGTTCTCTACATCATGGAAAGCCCAATGAACTTTACGCGCCCCCAAACCTTCCAGTCCGAACACTCACTTACCAGGATGGGCCATAATCCCTTAGAAGACCCTTTATAGGGTTCATTATGGGGATTATAAGGCCTAATAGCCCATTCTGGTATTCGCCCAGCACATCTCGAGCCGATGGGTGGGTCTGATGCCGAAGCGGTCAGTCATTGGTCTTGGCCAGCTCCTGGTGCGACCTTGCAGTAGGGGTTTAGGGTTTTGGGTTTTGGGTTTTGGGTTTATATAGGGGTGTGTGTGTGTGTGTGCGCATGCCAGCTTCAGTACTCGTGAGTCTGCCAGCTGCCAGTCTTTTACAACGCGAGGCATTCAGCTGTGCCGTCGTGGTTGCCCCGCCGATGTTCTTCCAGGTGTCTCAGTGCTCGCCACTGCTGTGTTGCTTCTTTTGCATCGTTTGCGGTTGGGGGGAAGGATCAGCTTGGCAATGCGCTAGGTTCGCTTTCCAAAGGCTATGCGGACGACACATCCCGCTGAGAAGTGGCAGCTGACGGTCAGCGGGCGTCGCCAACTTGTTCAGGGACAGCCTGCTTGCATCCGAGCCAGAGTGATTGGCAGTGACCACTACCACACATTGGGTCTTGCCCACATGGCGCCTCGCAAGCCCTTCGCCTCGCAGTTGAGAGTGTAGTTAGAGACCAGAACTCGGCCAGGTTGTCTCGTAGCAGCCATGGAGGGTGAGGCACAAACCGCTCCACTCGTGCAGCAGGAGGGGGGCCACATGGGCTGGAAGCAGGCCGGACCCCTAAACCCTCCTAAACCCTACAAAACCTCTAAACCCTCTAAACCCTCTAAACCCTTCAAACCCTCTAAACCCTCTAAACCCTCTAAACCCTCTAAACCCTCTAAACCCTCTAAACCCTAAAACGCAGGCCGGCATCACAGTGTTTACGTTCGCAGCGCCCTCAGCTGTGATGGCCGTGCCCTTTGCCATTGCCAATGCCGGCTACGTTGCTTGGTCATAGTTGGGTAACATTTTACATCTTTAAGGGTACTTAAACCCAATAAGGAATACACATTTCAATTTTTAATGTTATCCCAACAATGAACTAGGTTGGGGGCATCGCTTTGTGCTTGATCCTCACGTCAGCCTCGGTCGCTGGAGCCAATATGCTCCTGGAGATGAAGATTCAGTATCCACACTGCAGCTGGGCCCGCGTTGGCTTGAGTCTTGCGGGTCAGTTCTGAGATCTCCAACCCAAGGCCGCAATGAACCCCAAAATTGGGGTCACATACCCTCTAGTAACTCTAGTACTATCATCCCTATTTGGGTATGTGAACCATTCGTCCTTATGGAGGGTCTCCATGTAGGTGTCGAAGCGCAGGCAATCAACCGCACGGATGGACGGGTTCGGTTATCAGAGCCGGAAAGATTTTTTAGATCTCCGGTTCGATGCATGCTGTGTACTTTTCGCAGCTCCAACCCCTGAATCGCTTAGCTTGGTGTCTTCTTGCTCATCATAGCAGGGGTCTTTGAGATGCTTAGTTCGGTCGCACTTGCGCCCTCTCAAACGCAGAGGTAGACTTCACTCATTCCAGTTCAGAACAGTTGCTACTCGGATACTCGATGATACTCGGATGCGACCTCAAAAACCCCAGAAACTTCTAGCTGGAGACACTTGCGTGCGCAGCTTCGGCAGCCGGGCCGGCCAAAAAGCGGGCTGCAGCGTGCGCACCACAGACGAAGGAGAGCCAAAGGCCAAAGTCACACATGTCGCTTGGTTTCAGGAGGGAATGAGACCAGATCCTTTATGCCTCTCGGCTCGGGGACCGGCGGATTATGAGAAGGGCCGACGGGCCAAAAACTCAGAACGCTATTTGTGCGGAACACGTGGGGGTGGGCATGTTTGTGTTGAGCTGATCAATGTCACACCCTAAAGGCCCCTCGGCCCGAAACCTATATAACCTGTGATGTTCCTCCTTACACTAACAGTCCCTATATAATCCCTCTTAATTAAGGAGCTGCTAGCAAAAAGGGGGACACATCCCCAAAAAAAA